CATTACAGTTAACAGGTGCAGAAGGGAGGGAAAGTTCAAGGTCTCCCTCTGCAACATTCTCATTAACACTGGTACTTTCATTTTCCAAATCTACAGAAGTTCCTTCCTCACTAATTTCAGGAACATTGGCATTTTCCAAACCTACAGCAGATTCTTCCTCACTAATTTCAGGAGCATTGGCATCAAAAGGTACATTTCCACTAGCATCAGTAAATATACTTTCATTAGCATCAGGAGGAACAAACAGAGAATCAGGTTCAAGTTCAAACTCAGGCTGAACCCCAACAGTGGGCTTTATTTCCTGAAGTATGGACTGGTTGGATCTTCTCGTGGTCCAAGGCACTCTCAGAACTTTCCTCCAACACCACAGTTCAAAAGCATCTCTCTTCCTTCGCTCAGCCTTCCCTATGGTCCAGCTCTCACATCCGTAGGTTACTACGGGGAATACCATTGCTTTTACTACGGATCTTCATTGCCAGTGTGATGTCTCTACTCTTCACTATTTTATCGAGATTGGTCATTGCTCTCCTCCCAAGAAGCAAACATCTTCTGATTTTCTGACTGCAGTCTGCGTCTGCAGTAAACTGGGTTGCAGTTAAACATTAAAAAAACAAAACAAAACAAAAAGATTCTGCAACCAGACTGATTGACAACTGGCAAATGGGGGGGGGGATGGAGGCAGTGACAGACTTTGAATTTCTAGGTGCAAAGATACACCCATACGTCTTTCTTATTCGCAGGATAGCCTCCCCACCTTCAACCAGCCACCCACATTTATGATTCCTGAGTGTCTCACTGTGAAAGACAAATGTGGCAAACATATAATCATCACAAAGTTTGCTTCAGCCCTGGTTAGTCCTTGGATGGAAGACCACAAACAAATACCAGAGGCTGTAGACTACATTCCAGAGGAAGGAACTGGCATATCCACTACTGAGCATTCCCTGACTAAGAAAACCTTATGAAAAATCCATGGGATCATCATGAGTTAGCAGGCAACTTAAGGGCCCATACAAAGAATTGGTTATGACTTCCAGAGGATGTCATACTTCAGATGTATTATCAGATGACATGACTCATTGGGAAAGACCGTAATGCTTGGTAAAGTGGAAGGCAGTAGGAAAAGAGAGGGACTGCATTACACTGAGTTTGAGTCAATCAAGGAAAGTCCTGAGTAGACTTAGGGAGAGCTCATCATAAGTCAAAGTCAACTTGAGAGCAAATAGAAGCAGCAACAAAATGTATTGTAACATAAGCTCCCATGGGCTATACCAGTGGTTTTCAATCTTCATCCCTTCACATAATTAGAAGCTCAGTGCAGACAAGGCATGAGCAAACTTTTTGTCTTGGGGCTGTACTGTGGGCCCTGATGGAAGGGACAGGCTGAAAGGGAGGGCAGATGGGCACGTGCTGGGTGGAATGGGCCTGGGAGGAGGAGGGCCTGGGAGAGGAGGGGCCAGGGTGGAGTAGGGTAGGGCCTGGGTCATACACAGGTTGTTCTCCCGGCATAAGGACAGGGTTGCTTGCTCCATCCTTATGCTGGGAGGAAAATGAGAAATGTGGCAACTGTCCCAATCCTCCTCCCTGATCTTCAGGCTGTCTTCTCAGCATTATGCCAGGAGGTGGGCAAGACACATGCTGGCTAAAAGTGCTCCAGAGGGCTCTCAGCTGCTGCATGCCTCCCTCCCCTATCTTTGTGCTGAGATGACAGGGAAAATTAGGAGGGCCTGAGGTAGGTTTGCCCATGAATGGTGTAGACCCATATAATAGACTTTAAATGCATTAAACTACATTATACGGCTCTACATGGACCATATAATGTAGTTCGAAACAGTATTATATGGCAATATAGATAATGTCTAATGATCTTTTCACACATCCTCTGGTGGCAGTGCTCTTTTTCGCCGTGAGGCGTGGGGAATCTAGTGACCCACGCCTCACCTTGCCTCACCCACCAGGAGATCGATCACATGGGGGGAAACATATCGTGTGTGTGGTGCGTGTGGCTTCCCCCTTTAGATTTGATAGCACAGGACACATGTGTAGCCTGGGTGGCAGTGGTACAATGCACCCACGGAGCTGGCATGACATTGTGTGAACGCAACTGGCCAGCTCCGTGTGTGACCAGGGCTACATCAGCATTTGCCGCTAAATCTAGCTCCATTTCATGAGGTTATAAGTTAGTACAACCGACTGACTTACAATTTCAAGTATTGATTTATATTGAATTAGTGTTTCAGATATAAATTCTAAAATTTCCAGAATTTCACTCTCAGATGTCTGGAGTGAAAATGTAAATAAAGAGGTCAGAGAAAACTGTGTGCATAAAATACAGTTAGTGATTATTACACTGGCAGGAATTCTGCTTGCTCGTCTCTACTAGAATGGGACTATTCAGACCATTGTTGAATGGTGAATCAATACATTTCAGTTATTGCATGCCTTTAAGTTATTTCTGACTTCTGGTGACCTTGAGATGAACCTAACATGAATTTTCTTGGCATGATTTGTACTATCTTTGCCTTCTCTTGAAGCTATGATGAGAGTGTCTTGCTCAGGGCCACCCAGTGGATTTCCATGGTCAACTGGAGATACAAACCTTAGTCAACAAGTGTCCTATTCCAACATTTAAACTTCTGCACCAGAGCTTTCCAAATATTACATATTGGTGACACATGTTTTAGTCATGCATTACTTTATGAACTAGTAATCCAGTTTTACTGGCAAACCAATGGTTAAACCAACCACTTTTAGAAGATATGAACACATACATAAATTATAAGAATGAAATGTATGGGGACACAACATATCCCATCAAAACCTTTCATTTATCTTATTGAAAAGATACGATTTATTACTTATTTCACATAAACTCAGAGGCTTCGTTCTATTCATGCGACACACCTATACACTGCAGCTGACACATTAACATGTCACAAGACAGAGTTTGGAAAGCTCTGCCCTACACCACGTTGCCTCTCCATCTTCTACAACTAATTAGAGGTGCTTGGGGTTAAATATGGGTCAACCAAGACTAAGACATGTGGAATATATACACACACAGAGCCCTGATTTTGCCTTGAGATTCCTTTCATTTCTTTGAGAATGAGAAAAAAGAGTCCAGATTCTGAGCCTAATATCAAGATCTGGGAACTCTGCCTGTGAGCCATGTGCAACATTGAGATGGGCCTGGGCAAGTTCTGCAGTCTAAGAGGAGCATCATTATTATTAAACATTTACTCCTGGAGTGGGCAACCTCCGTGGGTTTTGAGGCCAATTTTCTTCCTTTGGGAATACAGTCCAGTCCCCATATCCACAGAATACTATCCATAGTTTCATTTGTCCAAGATCAACAATAGATGCCCTCAGTAGACATTTCCTGCATCCTTTACAGTAGCTATTTATTTCAATAGAGTTCGCCATGATCTACAGTTTCACATGAAGTCTGGGAAGGAAATCCCTGTAAACAGCAGGATTGTACTATACCTGGAATATTCTGAACTCAATTTCTGAATTTGAAAACAATGTGTTTTAAAATGTTTAATGGTTCAATGGGGCCTGCAACCTAATTAAAAGGTGAATTACCAAAAAGCCTTTGGTAAAATTAATTGACTGCCCATTCAAGAATACCAAATACCAAATATTTTCAGGAAAAACAATCCATCTCCTCTCTCTTCCATTGTTGTTGTTGTTGTTGTTGTTGTTGTTGTTGTTGTTGTTGTTGTTAACAGATGCTCTGAAGCAGTGAAAATGGGCCTTTTGCCCTCTCCTAGTTTATCCAAGGTTAGTCCAAAAGTACTTTGGACTGACATGAGTCTTTATGTACATTGTTGAGTGGCAACTTTGAATGAGTGAGTGAGTGAATGAATATTACCAAAATGTATCGTTCATAGGAAATGTACATAGCTAGTAGGCATTGTGTCTCACTGTTGTTGATGTTACTCCCGTACCAGCTTGGCTCTCCCCACCCCTGTCTTAGAAGTTTTGTTAACATTTCTTCCTTTTGTTTGTTTTCCTTTGCTGCTTAGTACATGCCACTGAATGGAGAATTCATTATGGCCCCAGGTGCTGGGTTTGCAGCCTTCGATGGCAGCTCCGATCCCGGATGTGAGACAGGTATTGTACTCAAACTACTGTTAATTAGTCATGCCAATTTTGCACTCTGAGAATTTGCTTCAGTTATTCTGCGGCTCGCTTGAGTCATTTTCTCCGTCATAATTAACTTTTCCCCGGAGCCCGCCAAAGTTTGGAAATTACAGTCAGAGCTTTCCTTTTCATAATGGGTTTGGGGAGAGAAAAAGAAGGGGGAAATGATAAACATTGGTTGCGTACATTACTCCAGAACTGTCTCAGGTGGAGCTTCCATTGAAATGAATTGTGCTCCGTTCTTGCCAAAGTTGCATTAATTTCAGGGCAACTCACCCAAGGGTTTTTCCCAGTAGAATTATGCTCATTCTTTGCTGTTTCCATTGTATGCCTAATACAAATGCAGTGAAACTGCCATCAGCTGTCTCTAAGCTCAGGATCTTGCCTCTAAAGCAGGATCTTGCCCCTAAATAAAATCCCAATGTCTCCACACTTCCCCCATTTAAAAAATATTTGTCAGGCAGTATTTGTTTAGTCCAAATAGCTCACAACCATGATCAGGGTCTGCAGAAGATACAAGCTTACCATACCGAAAAAAAATAGCCAAAAACCAAACCATCATTATTAGGGAGAACGAATGTTAAAAATGCTCCTCTGCCCCCTCTACAGTCGCCATACTAGGGATTGGATCCAATATAAAACTGGTTTTTGCCTCCTGCACAATTCTGGGATTTGTAGTTTAGTGAGGCTGTTAAAGGCTCCTCCCTAAACTACAAATCCCAAATTCCTCTGGAGGTAGCAACCAGATTTAAAGTGGGCTCATTCTCTAGTCCTAGCTATCCACAATTTTCCTCTCCAGCTCTAAAGCAATACATTGAACAGAGCTTGTTTTAGGAACACAGGCAGGTATTTTAGACTTACGACCTCATCCTATGGGCTTATTTGCCCATAGGTAAAGGTAGTCCCCTGACATTAAGTGCAGTCATGTCTGACTCTGGGGCGTGGTGCTCATCTCCATTTCTAAGCCGAAGAGCTGGCATTGTCCGTAGACACTCCAAGGTCATGTGGCCAGCATGACTGCATGGAGCGCCATTACCTTCCCGCCGGAGCGGTACCTATTGATCTACTCACATTTGCATGTTTTCGAACTGCTAGGTTGGCAGAAGCTAGGGCTGACAGCGGAAGCTCATGCCGCTCCCCGGAATCGAACCTGCGACCTTTCGATCGACAAGCTCAGCAGCTCAGTGCTTTAACCCACTGAGCCACCGGGGGCTCCTATTTGCCCATAGTATGCCCCTTTAGTCATGGAGCCCATTTCACAATGCACATTTACTTCCGACCAGGCTCCATCATGAAAGGAGCAAGGAAGTGGTGCACGCTGCCACCGCAGCAATATGGGAAGCTTCCTGTGTTGTCTTTGAAACAATGGGGAGAAGGCGGGCGGCGGCTTTTTTCTCAATTGACTCAGTACCATATTTTCATTTAGTGTATATAATATACCCAACTAACATCAGAGTATGGTCAAGACAATAAAAGTGACAAAAACATACAGGTTAAGAGAGGTTGCAGCAATTTGCTTTTGCTTGTTCCTACTAGGAAGAGCAAGACCCTTTTCTTTCCTCACCTTAACTTTCTGATAAGTTAACCAACTCCATTTGCAGCAAAGTAAGCCAGTGACAAAATAAGAGGACAAGAGAGAATCTGGCATCTAAAAAGGTGGGACAACAAAGGATTAATAGGAACTGGCATCTGAAAAGGTGGGACAAGAGAGGATTAATTGGTTCTGGACTAGCTTACCTGTCGAACATATCTCTCTCTATGAAACATCTAGGAATTTAAGATTGTCTGGGGAGGCCCTACTCACGATCCCGCCTTCTTCGCCGACACATTTGGCGGGGATGAGGGACAGGGCCTTCTCAGTGGTGGTCCCTTGGCTGTGGAACTCCCTTGCAAGGGATATTATATCTGCCCCCTCCCACTTGACCATCCAAGAAAAGGTAAAAACCTGGCTCCTTGAACAAACCTTTGGAAATGCAATGCAATAGACAAACACGGAATTATGTAAGATTGAAACATGGAACGGCTTAGATGATGCTACTGGTAAATGTAATTAAGAGGAACACATTGGTTATTATATGTTTTTAAATGGTTTTCCTATTGATTTTATAATGTTGTTTTAAATGTTTTAATTGTATATTGTGGATAGTTATTTATTTATTTATTTATTTATTTATTTATTTATTTACTCCATTTATATACYGCTTTTCTCAGCCCTCAGGCGACTCAAAGCAGTTAACAGTAGCAAAATTCAATGCTTGAATATCATAAATCAGACTAAAACAATTAAAAACCATAGCATCGATATACAAACATTRCAAAGTCAATACTACATAACTCATGGCATCTCTTAGTTAAAATCAAAATCCAATCTAGTCATCCAGTCATTTCATGTTCCAATATTTGTTACACTGCCTTTTCGAATGTCTGCTCAAATAACCAGGTCTTAATCTTCCTACGAAATGCTAACAGAGAAGGGGCCGATCTAATATCTTTGGGAAGGGCGTTCTATAGCCCTTCCATAGTTATGGCATCAAATTGCTGCCAATTGGTAAGCCACCTTGAGTCACCTTCAAGCTTGAGAAAGGCAGGATAGAAATATTGTAAATAAATAAATAAGTAAACTATYCCTGTCAAATCAAAACAATTGGAGGGTATATATACAGTGGAGACTAGATCAGGTAAACTATGGGTTGGAAGGGGAGGGAGGAGAGATGTCACATTTCTATTTCACTGAACTTCACAATAAGATTTCCAGATTGAGAATCTGCTAAAAAATAAATTAGCAGGAGAAGTATTGTCAAAGGCTTTCATGGCCGGAATAACTGGGTTGTTGTAGGTTTTTTCAGGCTATATGGCCATGTTCTAGAGGCATTTTCTCCTGACATTTCGCATGCATCTATGGCAAGCATCCTCAGAGGTAGTGAGGATGCTTGCCATAGATGCAGGCAAAACGTCAGGAGAAATGCCTCTAGAACATGGCCATAAAGCCCGAAAAAACCTACAACAATCTAGCAGGAGAAGCTTCACAACTGATATTGAACACCTAATGCTATATTGTAGTTCTCTGGATATGGAAAGAGATGGAGACAAGGGTCACCCCTCCCTCAGTAGAATTGATCAGGGAATTCAGTTCTCATTCAGCTTTTATTTTGGGTGCATATGGGGCTCCTGATGAATGGGAAGATGAAGTTTTCTTTGAAAACTGGAAAAAGTTTTGTGGTCCCATGCAATCTAACTTGACCAGGAACCAGACCTCATTTTCATTCAAAGGCCCTTGTGGTCTTTGACTCTAATGAGGATGCAAGATTTTCTGCAAATGCATGACAGCTACATTAATATTGAACAGGAAGAAGGCTGTTAATGAATTAAATATGAATTTCAGTAATACACTCTGTGCTGCGGCCCCTGTGTATTGTTTATTTTTGTATTAAATTCCCCAGCAGAGGAACTGCGGGGTGTACTTTGTGGAAGGCATGTTTACAGTGGTGCTGGAAAAGAGCTGTGGCTAGGGGAAAACCCAATGGCTAAGACAGTACTAGTACATTTGTTGTATTTATTGCCATCTGTGGTGTCCCATGGGCTTATTTCATGTTATATTTGGAGGGAGAGTCTTCTCCAGATTTTACTGAACTCATATGTCATTCTCTTAATTAAGACTGTGTCTGTAACCAAATTATTACAGTAATATTTATGGTTGAAGGCCCTTATTAGCAGATAGGGTTATGTGCTTTTAAAAAGTATGGGATCTCTCAAATCCAGCAATCAGTGGAGAGAGCTGGAGGGGACACCTGTGACATGGGTGGGCATTGCATGAGATGTAAATTACATTCTCAACCTTTGATCTTCCAGAGGTTTTGGACTTCAGGTCTCCGCATTCCTGCCCATACTGGTGGAGGCGTCTGAGAGTTGAAGTACAAAAGCAATGGAAGATCAAAGATTCAGAACCTCAGATTTAGAGTATTTATTTATTTACAGTATGTTTACCCTGCCCTTCTCACTCTGAAGGGATGGAGCCCCAGTGGCGCAATGGGTTAAACCCTTGTGCTGGCAGGACTGCTGATTGACAGGTTGGCAGTTTGAATCTGGGGAAAGCAGGTTGAGCTCCCTCTGTCAGCTCCAGCTCCCCATGTGGGGACATGAGAAAAGCCTCCCACAAGGATGGTAAAACATCAAAACATTTGGGCGTCCCTTGGGCAACGTCCTTGCATACAGCCAATTCTCTCACATCAGAAGTGATCTTCAGTTTCTCAAGTTGCTCCTGCCATTTAAAAAAACCCCAAAGGGGTCTCAGAGTGGCTTTACAGAATACATATACGGCAAACTTTCAATGCCGATACACTTAACAAAGACAAACAACACAAACAGAAATTATAGTTTAGCGGTATCGCACCACCTGACATCTGTCGGGAAGTAGCAACCTGTAATGAAAGGACCAAGGCATTGACATCTCCAGCCCATCCTCTGTTAGAATATCAGCCAGGAAGCTAATGCCTTAAATCAAGAAATAGCTTCCTAAGATCCGTGGAGACATTCGTAGGAACATCTCAGGAAGCGAGAGTCCAAAAGTAGCAGGCTAAAACCCAGAACCTCAATCAGTGGCTGATACCAGATGAGAAACTCCCTCCTGGGCACACAGAAGACTGGGCAACTTGGAAGGTACTCTTGGACTGCACTCTGGCACCATGATATACAGAGCCAGACTTAAGAAATGGAGCCACAAAGTGGAGTCCACAACATGTGAGTGTGGATTAGAGCAAACCACAGACCACTGATTACAATGCAGTCTGAACCCTGCCACATGAACAGTGGAGGACCTTCTCACAGAGGGACTCCAAGTAGCCAGCTTCTGGTCAAAGGAAATCTAGCATAATGCCAAGTTTTTAAGCTTTGTTTGTGTCTTTTAAAATACATTATAACTGCCCTGCTTCTGACACAATAAATAAATAAAATTAAGACAGGGTTTGCACTTCTAGCTCTGTGGTTTTTTTGGGGGGGGGGGGGCTGGAGGTGGGCTTCATGGTTCATAATAGACAACTGTACACAGTCTTGGAGCAATTTTTTACTTCTTGAGGTAAAGGTCACTCTGCAATGCCTTGACAGATGCCGACTCAGCTGGTAGTTCTGCTGATTTCCATGTACCAGTAGCTCACCTTGTGATCAGATAGCTCTGTTCTAACACCATCTTCAACTTTTTGTTTCATTAGCTTCAAGAGTCACATTCACCACGGCACAGAATTACCAATGGTATGACCCCACACTGTGGCATGGTGCAACCTCCTTGGAAAACCTTGATCAGGAGAAATACGTCTTCTCTGTAGATGAAGAACGTGTCCCATGCCAGTACGACGATGTTATTTTTCCACCTGAGACGTCCTTCCGAGTGAACATTGCATCGTCTGAGCAGATGATACGGCTTAGGAGCATTTCTATAATGGGGCAGGTAAAACTGGATATATGTGAGATATCAGTGCAGAGAACAACAATAATAAAAGATCACATCTAAAGATAGGCAGCTTCCTCCCTATTTATAATGGATTGCCTGGGACTATTGCCACCAACCACACTGAATATGCCCAATCATATTAAACTTTGGACGCTCAACAAAATTGGCTCTGTCAAGGCCTTTCCTCTCACTTCTATTGATTTTTTTCAATCTTTAAAATTAATCTGAACTGAACATCCTTTAAGTAGACAACGCATTCTGTAAAAGAGAGACTCTTCTGTATTGCAGAATTATAGCATTATGATACCGTCTTTATGGCCATGGTTCCATCCTATCGAATCCTGAGATTTACGATTTAGGGAGGAATATTTATAAGTATTTCTAGTTCAGAGGGTTATAGTGTTCCACCAGACTATAAACCAAGGATGCAACCATAGTGGCTAAAGTGGAATCATAGTGCTATAACTCTGAAGTGTGAAAATAAATTGGGGGCACAATACCACCTACACATATAAAGGGCCCCAAATTCAAACTTCTTCCATTTCTAATTCCAGAAGCCCAGATGTTGTTGTTTATTTGTCCATTTGCTTCTGACTCTTTGTGACCTCATGGACTAGCGGCCAGTGGTTCTCAGCCTGGGGTCCCCAGATGTTTTTGGCCTTCAACTCCCAGAAATCCTAACAGCTGGTAAACTAGCTGAGATTTCTGGGAGTTGTAGGCCAAAAACATCTGGGGACCCCAGGTTGAGAACCACTGGGTCACTAGCCCATGCCAGAGCTCCCTATTAGCCGTGGTCACCCCCCCAGCTACTTCAAAGTCAAGCCCGTCACTTCAAGGATACAATCCACCAATCTTGCCCTTGGTCAGCGCATCTTCCTTTTTCCTTCCATTTTCCCCAGCATCATTCTGTTCTCCAAGCTTTCCCCTCTTCTCATGATGTGGCCAAAGTGCTTCATCTTTGCCTCTAATATCCTTCCCTCCAGTGAGCAGTCAGGCATTATTTCCTGGAGGATGGACTAGTTTGATCTTTTTGCGGTCCAAGGCACTCTCAGAATTTTCCTCCAACACCACAGTTCAAAGGTGTCCATCTTCCTTCACTTGGTCTTCCTTTTGGTCTAGCTCTTGCATCCATAGGTTACTACAGGAAATATATTGTTTTAATGATGCGGATCTCTGTTGCCAGTGTGATGTCTCTAATCTCTACTATTTTATCGAGATTGGTCATTGCTCTCCTCCCAAGAAGTAAACGTCTTGTCATTTTCTGGCTGCAGTCTGTGTCTGCAGTAATCTTTGCACCTAGAAATACAAAGTCTGTCACTCCATGTTTTCTCCCTCTATTTGCCAGTTATTAGTAACTCTGGTTTCCATAATCTTATTTTTTTATGTTTAACTGCAATCCAGCTTTTGCACTTCATCTTGGTTAGAAGGCTCCTCAGCTCCTCCCCACTTTCAGCCATCAAAGTTGTATCATCTGCATATCTAAGGTTGTTAATGTTTCTTCCAGCAATTTTAACTCCAGCCTTGGATTCGTCAAGCCCCGCACATCAAATGATGTTTTCTGCATACAAGTTGAATAGGTTGGGTGAAAGTATACAACCCTGTTATACTCTTGAAAGGCATACAGCAGTCTGTTGTTCCATGGTCAGTTCTTACTGATGCTACTTGGTCTTTATACAGATTCCTCAGGAGAGAGATAAGGTGATTTGGTATGCCCATACCACCAAGAACTTGCCACAATTTATTATGATCCACACAGTCAAAGGCTTTAGAATAGTCAATAAAACAGAAATAGATGTTTTTCTGAAACTCCCTGCCTTTCTCCATTATCCAGCAGATATTGGCAATTGGATCTCTTGTTCCTCTGCTTTTTCTAACCCCAGCTTGTACATGTGGCAATTCTCGGTTCATGTCTTGCTGGAATCTACCTTGCAAGACCTTGAGCGTTGCCTTACTGGCACTTTAAATAAGTGCCACTGTATGAAAGATTTTGATATAAGTTGATTTTTTCCTATCTGATTATGATTCTTGAGTTTTCCATATTTGCTGGCATAAGGAATGCATCACCAGAAGCAGGAAATAAAACATTTGGAGAAGTCACTCCTCATTAGAACAGTTGTGTACAGTATCTGAAGTTTGAGGAGCTATATCCAAACCACTGGGAGATGTAGCTACTTTCCTCTGAAAACTAAGTCTGCATTCCTCACAGAACTTGCTTTAAAACATACATGTGCTTTTGCTAGTCTTCTGAGAATGTAATGTTGCTTGTAAACAAGGCACATGGAAAGTGCTCACTTTGTTTTAAAGCAACTATGGTGCTTTTAAATTTTCTAGGCATGTCCTCCACACTCACATCCCTCCATTTTATTTCAGAGCCCATCTCAAAATCATGTTTGATGTTGTTTCAATTTTAAGATGGACTCATGAGATATTTTTCAGGGGTGAGATTCTTTGAGAATTTTGGGAATTTTGCTCATTGTGGGGTGAAAAGTGTCTTAAAATCATGCATTTTTAAAAAATGGGGATAGTTGCAAGGCCAAAAAAAATTGATAAAGGTTCAGTTAATGCAAATGTGAGGTTTAGGGCATACAGTTAGTCGGGGGGGGGGGAGGCACATATTCCCCAGCTTTCTTTTAAAGAAAAAAATGATGTTTCAAATAGTAAAATACCATTATCTCCTTCTGAGGAGATGGCTGAATCAGGGGCAGTTTTTTGGGTTGGGAACCACATATGGCTTACAGACCCATCACAGTCACAACCCTGCAGCAATGTATTAGGAATAGCACTGTTCTGGCTCAGCAGCTGAAATACAAAAAGTCTCCTTACTTCAGGCCGCCTTCACATACAATTTGGAGCTCAAATGACTGCTCTATATAAGGGCTTGTTTATCTGAATCAAGCCTGGGGCCATTGTTATTTCCTGTCCAAGGGCACCAACCTGCCCTTTTCTGCTTCAAAAACAAGTGGCTGCCATTCTGGGATTATACTGTATGCTACCTAGGGGAAACAGCACCTGGTTTAATTAAAATACTTTTAATACTGTGTCACAATTGAGACTAGCGGTTGCCAACTATACCTCTGTGTTTTGTTTCCTTTTCTTCCCAATCCCTGATGGGATTTAGAAGTTCACCAGTGACAACCGCCTGGAAGAATATATGCAGAGCCCTTCTGCAAAGCTCCAGTTCCATGGACAAGGGACGTTCTGGTTGTCAAATGCTAGATGCCCAGACAAATCAGGCTGTGAATGTGGAAACACTGCAGTAAGTTCTTCCTTCTAGCAGACCCTGAGGCTTCAACTTAAATCTGGAAAAGCATTTCCCCTTGAAGGCTATATTCTACAATCTTCTAGGGCCTCTTTCTATTAGCTGTGGGCTGAAGCAATGAGTGGGCAAAGCTAGAGTCAAATGTGTTTCTGTCCTCTTCCTTCATTCTTTGTTGTCCCTTCTCTTTCTTTACTCTTCTCTCCCTCATTGTTACACTTCCCTTCCTCTCCTCTCTGCCACACACTCCCTTCTCTTCCCTGTTTCCTTTTCTTTCCTCTCCACCACCTCTCTGACATTTCCCTCTCTTCTTTTCTAACTTCTTTGCCATCCTTTCTCAGGGCTCCATAAGATTACACTGTTATAGTGCTGTGACTCCACTGAAACTGCTATGGCAACATGGTATGGAATCCTGGGATTTGCAGTTTTGCATACTATCTCTGAGCTGGGCTTTAGCACAGTGGGTTAAACCACCAGTTGCAGAATTTTTTGCTGATTGAAAGGTTGGCAGTTCAAAGCCCAGTTCAGGGTGAGCTCCTGCCGTCAGCCTAGCTTCTGCTCACATTGTTGTTGTTCATTCGTTCAGTCGTCTCCGACTCTTCGTGACCTCATGGACCAGCCCACGCCAGAGCTCCCTGTTGGCCGTCACCACCCCCAGCTCCTTCAAGATCAGTCCAGTCACTTCAAGGATGCCCTCCATCCATCTTGCCCTTGGTTGGCCCCTCTTCCTTTTGGCTTCCACTTTCCCCAGCATAATTGTCTTCTCTGGGCTTTGCTGTCTCCTCATGGTGTGGCCAAAGTACTTCAACTTTGTCTCTACTATCTTTCCCTCCAATGAGCAGCCGGGCTTTATTTCCTGGAGGATGGACTGGTTGGATCTTCTCGCAGTCCAAGGCACTCTCAGAACTTTCCTCCAACACCACAGTTCAAAAGCATCTATCTTCCTTCGCTCACCCTTCCCTAAGGTCCAGCTCTCACATCCGTAGGTTACTACCATGGCTTTGACTATGCAGATCTTTGTTGCCAGTGTGATCTCACATAGCAGATCGAAAACAGCAATGTGAATAGATGAAAAGGTACCACTTTAAGCAAGACGGCAATAAAAAGGCACCCATAAGGACATGCTGGCTATTCGATCTGGGAGGACATCTACTGACAACAAAAGCTCCTTGGCATGGGAGAGGGAGCAACAGCACCTCGCTGTGGCCAGAGTCGAGCACATCCTCCAGATGCCGGAGATGGAAAAAGATGGGAAAGCCTATACCTCTGTTTATGTATTTATGCATTGTTTGTCCTTGTTAATTGTATCACGGCATTAAATGTTTGCTGTATATGTGTACTGAAATCCACTCTGAGTCCCCTCAGGGAGATAGAGCGGAATATAAATGAAGTATGTTGTTGTTGTTATTATTATTATTATTATTATTATTATTATTATTATTATTATTATTATTTCTCCCTTTCCTACTCCCCTTTCCTTTCTCCAACCTATCTCTCTCACTTTCCACCTTTCTCTTTTTCCTTTCTCCCTCTGCCAACCTGTTCTTCTCTCCCTTCCCTTCTTCCTTCCACTCTATATCTCTCCTTCTCTCTCATCCTATATATCTACATCTCTCTTTCCCATCCTCTCTCTTTCTTCCCTTCTCCCTCTTTCTCAACCCATCCCTCTCTCTCCTTCTCCCTTCCTCTATATCCTCCCAACTCTTTCTTTTATCATCTTTTCCCCTTTCTCCCTTTTTGCCACTCCTTCTCCTTGTCTTCCACCAATCTCTCACTCTCTCAAACTCTTTTTGTTCTCCTTTTCTTTCCCTCTTCTCCTCCTCTTTCCTCCTCTTTTCCCTTTCTGCCACCCTTTCCCTCTTTGTATTGTCAAAGGTTTTCATGGCGGGAAGCACTGTGTTGCTGTACGTTTTTCGGGCTGTATGGCCACGTTCCAGAAGCGTTCTCTTCTGACGTTTTGCCTGCAACTCACAACCTCTGAGCATGCCTGCCATAGATGCAGGCGAAACATCAGGAGAGAATGTTTCTGGAATATGACCATACAGCCCAGAAAAAAACTTCCAGCAATCCACTTTTTTTATCTGTCTTCTCATTATCTGCCACCACATCTTCTCTCATTCCCTTGCTCCTCTTTTCCCTCTCCCAACCAACTCACTCTCTGCAGCTTCATCTATATCCTTTTCTTTCTCTCTGTTTGCCTCTTCTTCTTCTCCTCCTTCTCCTCCTCCTCATCTCCCTCTCTCACACACATGCACACCTTCTCTCTCTCTCTCTCTCTCTTTCTTTCTTTCTTTCTTTCTGCAAGCATCTTCGCTATTGCTCCCATTTTCCTCCCTCTCTCCCTCCTGCCCTCACTTTCTTTCAGTCTTGCCTGTTGGACAAAGGGGAAGACCAGAGATCTGTACCAACCACTTGCAAAGATATTTTGAACTTGGACTAGGGACACCTGTTGCTGAGCCTGCTCTAAGATCTGTTATCAACAGGAGGACTGAAAGAGATTGAACAGCTAATTAAAAGACCTCATGTGAGCACAGTTACTACTGCTAAACTAATTAAGCTAATTTAATTAGAAGAGTTCACAAAGATAAGCATCTGTGTACCCAGTCGAGCCTTCTAGGGCAGTCCTACTCAAAAGTGATGGCGTATGGACTGACTCTGGTCTGTGAACTATCGGCTGCTAGTTCACATAGAAACCATTTGTAGGTAATAGGCACAAATGTGACCTGGTTCCTACCACATTGTGGGGTGGACAGGGTAATACCAATTCCCCACATCTGATAGTCTGAACAGCACTGATCCAGTGAACAAAAGAGGGCAGCTAGCCCATAGTGAGAAATTGTCAACCTTCAGTAGACTTCTGAACTTAAGTGTTGTATCACTTCGAAACTTGTTTAACTTCTGTGGCTTCTGTAATCCCAAGATTTGCAGTTTGTGTGAGAGGGTATTTCAAATTCTTAGCCAGGGACATCTAGTGCCTCATCAACTTACAAATCCCAGAATGATACAAAATGCAGCCATGGCAATTAAAACAGTATCAGTGGGGGAAAGACCAGAGTTTTTGATGACTGTTCTTGGAATTGCTTACCATTGAGAGGGGCTGGCTGGACTTCTAGATCCAAACTCACCCTCCCATAGCTGTAGCAGATTTCCCTCTTCTACTCTGGTGACATGAGCATCTGGTGACAGCCAGTATCTCTCTCCCAGATCTCCATGGTGATCTAGCAGTGGCAATGGGGACATCCAAGGTAAGGTGACTGTCCAGGGGAGCCAAATCAGTTTGGGTACTGCTAGATGGTCTGGGCTATACCGTGCTACCACTGCAGAATGGAGATGAGCAATATAGGCACCATTGGGGCCAGCCAGGAGTAATGCTTCTCCAGATCAGCCTCAGATTTAGCTATATGGGTAGGGGAGCACTAAGGCTACTTCCCTAGATGGTCTACAAAAGTCTACGCAACCAACTTCATTCTCTCAGTTGTCTCTAAGGTGCAACATGATCCTTTTGCATACTCATATTCCAGATTGACAGAGATATATGTATCTTTGAAGGAGACTTGTGTCACAGTATTGGATAATGATAATAATAATGACAGCAACGACAACATTATTTTTATATCCCGCCACTATCTCACCGAAGGGACTCGGGCAGCTTACACATGGGGACAGAATGGATTGCAAATTCCACGATTTCCTAGATAATGGGACCACTGACCATACTGTCTTAGGAAGTCACATTGCCAAAAAAAGAGAAGATAGTTAGTCTAGGAGTGGGATAGCAGTCTGCAACAAAGCTTTGCAGGATAGTCTTGAAGATACCAGACAGTCTAGTCCAGGCATGAGCAAACTTTTTTGCCTTGGACACATTGTGGGCCCATCTGGGAGGCTGGGCCAACCAGAGGGGGGGCAGGCACACACTGGATAGGGAGAGCATGGGAGAGGATGGGGTCCAGGAAGGGACGGGCCCAAGATCATTCTTAGGGGCCGGAAGCGGGGATATGTGGCAGCTGCCCTGGTCCTCCTCCCCTGATCCCCAGGCTGTCCTCTTGGCATTATGATGGGAGGAGGGTGAGACAGGTTGTGGCTGAGAGTGCTCTGGAAGGCGTTCAGCCGCCATGTGTTTTCCTCAAGCCATCTTCCTGGCACAAGGATGGGGTCCTTATGCGAGGAGGAGGGCAAGACACAAGGTGGTTGAGAGTGCTCCAGAGGGCTCTCGGCTGCTGCATGCCTTCCTCCCGCATATTTTTGGCATAAAGACATGGTGAGCTGCAGTTTCCTTCTGCCAAAAGGACAGGGAAAATGAGGAGGGCCTCAGGTAAGCACCCAGGGGCTTCATTTGGCCCCTGTGCTTACTTTGCCCATGCTTGGTCTAGTCAGTTGTGCAGGCCTCATTTAGTAATCTGTTTCTTTTCAAGGACCATGACAGAATCTGTGCAGCCTTGCTCCAGAATTCTGGGAATCAATGTCCCGTGGCTACATGCAAGGATCCACTGAAGCCAGTCGGTCATTGTTGTGAAATATGTGGTGAGTGAAGTTGTAGTACTATAGCTATGGCTTAGGGGCTCTCTAACCTTTGTGGGGCTGATGCGCACGTATGGGACTTTGAGAATGATGACTGTGAGTCTTTCAAAACAAAGCACTCAGCTATAGTCATTTAGCATTTATATTGTGTGAATACCTCTTAGCTTCATTTATGAATTTTATTACAGGTCTTTGCTTTCCTTTGCAGCATGCAAGATGCTGCTTTGAAGTATTGTTCCAGTTATTTATTTCTGTTAGTTGCAAACAAAACTGAATTAAAACTAAAATCAAAGGAAAGAAGATTGACAGGTACCAAGAGGGTTGCCCATAATTAGAGTGTTTCCATCCTGCAAATTCTGGACATCAGGGTCAGGTTAATAATAATAATAATAATAATAATAATAATAATAATAATAATAGCTCTATTTGTACCCTGCCTCCATCTCCCCAAAGGGACTCAGAGTGGCTAACATGGGGCCAAGCCCAAGCTAGAAGAAGGCCATTACAATAAAGCAACATAAAATAATACAAGACACATGACAACATCAAGTAAAAATGCTTATACGATAACATAAGACAATAAAATAACATAACATAATAAAACCGAGTATAAAAACAGTACAAAAATTTTAACGAAGGCGAGCTGAGCCAAGTGTGAGGAGTGAAAATTGTTAAACCTGTGGGTGAGGTAGAAAGATAAAGTGCTGTATTTAGAGAGAGACTCGGGTGGGATAAACAATGAGGTTATTCTCAACTGAGGGATGAGATAAAGTGCATCAGAAAGACAATTGACAATGAGACAGGACCTGACATGGGAATTAGTTATTCATTCTTCAAAAGCACACTGGAAAAGCCCACGTTTTTAAACATTTCCTAAAGGCTGACAGGTGGGTATTTGCCTAATTCTTTGGATTGGAAAAGAAGACTGGTGGGTCTTATTCTGTCTTTCAAAGAACCTGACCAAAATATCCAGAATTTGTAGGATGGATACACTCTACTTATGGGTAACTGTCTTGAGAAGATGTTAGAAGCCTTCTTCTAGGTCCTATGTACAAATGAAAGTGGGATTAGAGTTTAAGCCTCAGAATAAGGGATGGTCAACCTGTACTATAGAATCATAGAATCAAAGAGTTGGAAGAGACCTCATGGGCCATCCAGTCCAACCCCCTGCCAAGAAGCAGGAATATTGCATTCAAATCACCCCTGACAGATGGCCATCCAGCCTCTGTTTAAAAACTTCCAAAGAAGAAGCCTCCACCACACTCCGGTGCAGAGAGTTCCACTGCTGAACATCTCTCACAGTCAGGAAGTTCTTCCTCGTGTTCAGATGGAATCTCCTTTCTTGTAGTTTGAAGCCATTGTTCCGTGTCCTAGTCTCCAGGGAAGCAGAAAATAAGCTTGTTCCCTCCTCCCTGTGATTTGGTTCTTTCCCAGTTGTTGTACAGGTGTGTTTGCCCCATTCTACAAGGCTGAAGTTTTCCTCCAGGACAGTAGTTCTCAACCTGTGGGTCCCCAGATGTTTTGGCCTTACACTCCCAGAAATCCTAACACCTGGTAAACTGGCTAGGGTTTCTGGGAGTTGTAGGCCAAAGCATCTGGAGACCCACAGGTTGAGAACTACTGCACCAGAAACTTTGGTACTGACCGTAAGAGTCTAGACTTCAAGTATTTTTGGCCCTGTTCTTGTGACCCACAAACCAGTGGACTGTGGCCCTCTAGAGCTTTTCTGAAATTTAATTTGAATCTCATGAATTTTGCCCTTTCCAGTCTTGCATTTGAAGCCCAAATCTTAAGGTTTCCAGCAGACTAGAATGAAAAAAATGGATGATGACTGTTCTTGTGCCCACAACAATAGCCTGAATAGCTGGAAGATCAGCTTCAGCAGGTGGAAGCTTGTCACATTGTGGAGATAAAGCATTATCACCTGCTGACCCTGAGGCCCCCGGTGCATTGTCTATACCTCTTCCTGATAATTATAATTTCAGGCTGTGTAAAAGTCATCATCAATTACTGCACTCTTTTAGCTCATTTTTAAAAATTGCCTGGGTACAGCTGGTAGGAACTCATTCCAATCCACAGATGGGAATGAAGCTAACTAAAGGCAACATTAATAGACCTAAATTGAAATGCAATTTAAAATGAAAAATGTGGCCAACAGGTTAGTGACATTTCTTTCTCCTTTATCATGTGTTTTTCGTCTGTTGGTTTACCTGTGAGGCAAATATAGGATCCCCTCTCGTACTGTGTTTTTAATTTCTAATTAGCATACGAAAACTAAATGCTCTAGGGAAGCACCATCTGTTGCTTAGGCAAGTCTTTGAAACAATTAAAAGAACATTTTCCAAAACCCCTGTGTTTTGTTTTGTTTTTCCTGGGCAGACTAAACAACTAATACAGACCCAAAGGGTCCATAAAGCTGAAGAGTCCATCAATTTAGTGTCTTGGGACTTAAAGCCAAAACCTGGAAATGTTCCTTTTTTTTTTAGACTATAGCTCCCAGAAGCCTGTGCCCAGCATAGCCGTTAGAGACTCTGGGCCCTTCCACACAGCCATATAACCCAGAATATCAAGGCAGATATAATAATAATAATAATAATAATAATAATAATAATAATAATAATAATCTTTATTTATACCCTGCTACCATCTCCCAAGGGACTCGGTGTGGCTTACATGAGGCCGAGCCCACAATACATCAGTGATAAAAATAATAACAACAATTAATACAGACAATAAAATAAAACTCATAAAAATAAACAATAAACAATAGCAGTAGCAGTAGCACAACAACATTTAAAACCTATGGCTGGGCCAAATGTAATAATTAAAATTTAAGAATAATGTTGAGTATGAACAGATGAAATACAATATCTGCTTTGAAGTGGGTTACCTGAGTCCACACTGCCATACGGATTTTATACAGCTGTGTGAAAGGGGCTTCTGAGAGCTGTAGTCCAAAAACAACTACTTTTCCCAAGCTCTGACCAGACTTGCTAAACCTTGAGCCATCCTGCACCCACCAATTGTGCTTCAAGACAATTGGAAAACAAATCTATCAGTGGCTGACAAATATGCTTACTCTATCTGATGAATTTATTCCAAATGCAGAGGCTCATTTTTTTTTACAGAATCTGAAAGAAGGAACAATGTGTTGATAGGAAAGCAGCCATGAATATAAATAAGAGGCAAAAGCAGTATGAAAACTGAATATGATTGTGGAATGTGAGAGGGAAAGGGAGAAGCTGCAGAAAAGGGGTGACCAACTGGTGAAGGTTTGAAGTCTTCCTTCCGAGTCCTAAAAGCCCTGGAAGGAAAGGACAGATATGTTGGTTGTTCACAAAATGAAACAACCAGTATGTGGTCATGAAATGGACTAAGGACCTCATCCCATTAGATACATTCCCTGTCCTATGACACTTCCTTGACGCAGCTGGCATGGAGCTTGCCAGATCTCATCCCACAACACACATCTATTTCCTGCGGGGCTCCGTGCTGGCTGTGTTGAGAAAGCGTGGTAAGAGGTGGAATCCTGAACATGGCTGGCTACCTATGTTCAGCTAGAGAATCATGAGCACAACGTGCAATCACATTGGAAAGCTGCAGAAGTTTGTGATGAGTGATACGGGATGCCAGGTGACAGATTTGTCCTGCAGCTCCACAATTTTGTTAGGATTTTAAAGTTACACAACTTTACCTTAAGTGATAATAGGATTGGTGGCTCAGGTCCAACCCTGGATGTCATTGTAATTGAGATGTGGTGGCCAGTGCTGAGACTGTAGTATATAGGTTGTAGTAACCCTGTGATAGTTTGATGAGGATAGGAGGTTAGTAGATGAAGAAAGAAAGGAGTATGTTGTACATACTGTAAATACTGTTTGTATTATTGCTTCAACCGAAGAAAGAAAAGATTTCCAGTTGGAACAAACAGCTTTGTGTCTGTGTCCTTCTTGTTCCTTCACATTAATGCAGTTTGGCACCACTTTAATTGTCATAGCTCCGTTCTATGAAATCATGGGAGTATAGTTTTACAAGGCCTTTAGCCTTCTCTGCTGAAATAGCAATGGTGTCTCACCAAACAACAACTCCCATGATTCCACAGCACTGAGCCATATCAGTTAAAATAGTGTCAGTTGCACTAATTCTATGGTAGAGATGCATGCAAAGCCTGACACAGCATCTACATTTAATTTAATTTAATTAAGATGACTCAGTAAGGCATCTCATGTGAACCCACCAACTTCTTATCTACCTTCTGAAGTCTTCTTCATAACGGTATCATTTCTGAGATTTGCAGACTTAGTAGAAATATTTGATATCTATATTAAGCAGTGTGCAGCAAGGCCAGGACAATGGGAGCTTGGAGCAGAAACGAGTAATTGTTCTGGATACTCTTGTAAGATAAAGGGAAAATCTATGTTTATTGTCTCAGGAAATTCATCTTAGGCTAGGAAACAGATAAAAGAAGTCAACATACGTTTAGTTAGAAAAGTCCCTAAAAGTAGGCTCTAAAATCTGGGTATAAGTTAGTAGCTGTTATTAAATATAGAACTCCATGGATTCTCCCTTAACAGACAATGGGAACAAAATGACTTATACAGGTTAGACATCAGCCCTCCATATCCAGGGATTCAGCACCCACAAATTCAACATCCACAGAATCAACCATCCACAGTTTGAAAATATACATCCCCCAAAGGAAAAAAATCACACAGTCATTAGCTTGGAAAAGGCCAACAGAGCATTGAGTCAACTGTCTTTTAAGTGACAAGGGTATCTTTCTAACCACTCCTCGCAGTATTAGGATTCTATTTATGTCTTCCTGTCTCATTTTTGTTTCAATTGCAGGAGCCACCGTTTCCTTGGAATACTCTTCTAATTTTGACATAGAGCTATATCGGGACAGAATACTCCATACTTTTCTGACTTTGGTATGCTATTCCTGTTCCTAGAACTGGATATAATTCAAATGAGCTGAGGATGGAGGTAACATTGCCAGGTGAAAAACAGGACAAGGCACTTATTGCTTTTATATTTGTTAGAAGTGTTGGGTTTCATCCTTGGACTGCACAAGTCTTTGTGCCATTAAGTCCCGTGCCATCAATGAGTAGCTAACCTACAGGCAAGGTCAAGCTCAGGGATTCCTTTCCTTACATTCCAATACATGTTTCCTAAAGGGTTTTGTCTTTGTCTATACTGCTAGGCAATGTCTCCTCCCCCTTTGATGACATAGTAATAGAGTTCCATGAGGGACTTCCTGTTAAGTTTAAATTGGTCCAGCATTTCTGTGTTCTCAAGTAATATGCTATGATGAACCAACCTGGACATAGCATATTATTTGAGAAATGCTGGACCACTCTAACAACTACCATGTCAGGCTACATAGAGAAGCCATTGAAATCCACAAGCATGAAAGGAAGTCACCATGAAAATGAACAAAATGTGGCTACCCGTATTAAAAAGAACTCTAAAATTATAACAGTAAATAAAAAACAACACTCAAACACACTCAAAGGGGAACTTTAGACAAGAAACTACCAGGGACAGCTAAGCACCTCTCAACAAAGGATCTCCCAAGGCAGTAACAAGCCAAACCTAAAAACTGTCAGGCCATCAAATGCTAATCAAGGTGGCCAACTGAAACATTCACACCTGTCTCCAACAAATAAGAGTTCTTTCTTCCACTCTTGACATTCCACAGATATATAAACCCAATTTTCCTAGTTTCCAACAGACCTCACAACCTCTGAGGATGCCTGTGATAGATGCAGGTGGAACGTCAGGAGAGAATACTTCTAGAACATGACCTTACAGCCCGAAAAACCTACAACAACCATGTTTCTTCCTCTTTTCTTTCTCCCTGTGAGGGTGCATTTTGTTTCACTGTAGACAAAATGTAGCCGCATTGACTTTTTAAAACTTTTTACCTTCTTAGAAGATGAGATTTAGCAAGTTAGTTAGCTCCAAGACTTTTCTATCAAGAATGTATTTCCTTTTATTTTAATAAGTTTCTTGAACCTAAGATCGATTCTGCAATCCTCAGCCATCCTAAAGGTTAAAAGGCTATTCCTGCTCACCACATGTAAGTTTCTGCTGGTAATGGAGTTTACCCCCGGTACTCTGCTATATTTTGGTGGAATTGCCCTAACAGAGGGTTATTTTTGAGCCTAACAGCTCAGATTCCCCAACAACAAGAAGATGGGATTTCAGCGGATGCTGCTTCTCACATAGACAGCCATTGCACTTTTTCTACACAGCCATCCACATTATTGGAGCCCTTTGTTGGTTTTTGCCTAGTGACTTGAATTGGGGTTTATAATTTGTATTACAAGTCAAAATCAATGTTAAAACAAGAACATTTAGAGGCCAGAGGTGTGTGGTCTCCACATGTCAGTAGATCTTCAAGTCTACTTTGAATTCTTTAAATGTGATGGTTTCAAAAGAGGATTTGGAAAGATGCATGGAATATGGATCTGTCCTGGATTGTTGGTTGCATATTTTTGTAGATTAATTGCAGAAGAAATAGGGCTGAAGGGTGGTACTGTTGGCCCCATGTCCTACCAGAGGTCATCTCATAGACAACCAGTTGGCCAATATGTGAACAGGATATTGGATTAGAATCATAGAGTTGGAAGAGACCTCATGGGCCATTCAGTCTGACCCCTGCCAAGAAGCAGGAAAATCACATTCAAAACACAACCAACAGATGGCCATCCAGCCTCTGTTTAAAAGCCTCCAAAGAAGGAGCCTCCACCACACTCCGGGACAGAGAGAGTTCCACTGCTGAACAGCTCTCACAGTTTGGAAGTTCTTCCTAATGTTCAGATGGAATCTCATTTCTTGTAGTTCGAAGCCACTGTTCCACGTCCTAGTCTCCAGGGAAGCAGAAAACAAGTTTTCTCCCTCCTCCCTATGACTTCCTCTCAGATATTTATACAGACTTTTGGTCTATTGTCCTACTATCACGTCAGAACTATATTTTGTGTATTGAAATAAAAAAAAGCTTGTAACCCCTTGATTGGGAAATACCAAGAATGAATAGACTCGGGGGGAGGGCTGTTGTTTTTGATTCACACTATTGTCTAACTAGAGCTAAGCATTAGAAAGCCTGAGAAATCCAGCTTTCTACAGTTATAATGTGGAGCCCCCGATGGCGCACTGGGTTAAACTCCTGTTCCGGCCGGACTAAAGACCGACAGGTCGCAGGTTCGAATCCGGGGAGAGGCGGATGAGCTTCCTCTGTCAGCTCCAGCTCCTCATGCGGGGACATGAGAGAAGCCTCCCACAAGGATGATAAAAACATCAATTCATCCGGCCGTCCCCTGGGCAATGTCCTTGCAGACGGCCAATTCTCTCACACCAGAAGCGACTTGCAGTTTCTCAAGTCACTCCTGACATGACCAAAACAGTTATAATTTTACTTCAAGCTAGAAATGATCTGTATGTCTATTTTTAACCTCAAAGTGTATCAACTTCTTTTTAATTCGGTTACTCTTTTTAAAAAAAAACAAACTTAAATTCATTCTGTCTCCTTTCTTCATCAGTTTGTCAGTTTTACACAGATGTTTTCTGAAATACGCATTTTCATATTTTGTTTTTAAATCTAATCTGGCCTAATACATTCATTTTTGAAAGCAATTTCCCCTAATGTAATGCATTGTAATGATAAACATTTAGTGTATAATTTCTACTACATATTTTGTTATTAGAGTAAGTTGACAGATTTTGTTATTAGAGAAAGTAGACAGATTGCGAACTGTATCACATAATGTGTGAAAACTGAAGGACAACAATGTTTTCCGTTGCAGATTGATTCATGAAGTGTGAATTAGGTTATTATGTATTAAAATATTAACATATTGGATTCCTCCCATCCCAGGCATCTAGTCACAGCTCTGATAGCACAACAATACTTTGATTGTCTGTTAGAGTAATTAGGATAAAACTATAACTGTTGGTTAGTCTCAAATGCAGTAGACCCATTTTATCAACTGTTGAATGGTAGTGAGTCAACATGTTGATAAATCCAATATAGAGGCCTATCACTGTTTCTGTATTACATATTCACAGCAATTTGTTATCTAAACTTCTGTAGCTGCATCATATAGAATCTTGATTTGCGTATAATAATAATAATAATAATAATAATAATAATAATAATCTTGTATCTGTACACATTATTCACCAATACATCATACAGTCCTAGACACTTGGGAAGTGTCCGACGTGTGATTCAATACAACATCCAGCAGAGTGATCTTATTTGCTGTGGACTCATCTTGTTGTGTTTCAAATAATAATAAATCTTTATTTGTATCCCTCTTTTCTCCCACAATGGGACTGAAAGTGGCTTACAACATATTAAAAGCAATACAAATCCAAAACAATTAACATACGCAACACATAAAACAATCTATAAAATAAAACATAAATAGGCGGAATTGTAAGCCAGCGGGTACATCTAACACAGGAATTTTTTGCCCAGTGTTAATACACCCTGGAGTAGCCCTGGACCTAGCACATTCATGCCAAATCCAGAGCCATTGTTCAGATGGCTGGAGAGCACACTGTTGCCACCAAGGAGCTCTGCTTATGATTCTGGTCATGGGAGCCACCATTGGGCACATCAGAATTTGGGGTGGGGGAATGCAACCAGAAAAAAGGAGGAGGCAACCCCCCCTCCTCCTTCCTCATCACACTGGCATCCTATTTGACATTTACACAGACGCCATGTAACCAGGAAAAAGGAGAGCCCAATTCTCTCTCCAGACTGACAGGAGCCTGGATATGCCCCCGTCAATGTTAGAATGGGTGTTTCTGTACCAGGAAGGAGGGGGATTGATATCCATAATGGCTGGGAGCTTACACAAAACCCTGTGGCCAGCTAAGAGTAATGGCCATGGTATCATGGCCACAATGCACCCCACCCCCTTTTTCTGCATTCATCAATCTGGACAGAGAATTGGGCCAAATTAGACCAGATCTAGTCCAGGATACTCCAGAGCTTCCAGCAAACTCTGGCTTATTTTCTATTTTTTCCCAAAACAGGGCAAAGTCAGTTTTAAGACAAACAAACAACAGCAAAAACCAGGATATTTGCTGAAATCGTTGTCCATCATGAAGACAGAAAGCCTTCCATTCGAGATGAGTCCAGAGTTCATTTGTCAGTACAGATAAGACCTTGGTCCATAATAGATTCATTGACTCAGTGGGATTTGCCTATTATTATTGATAATAATAATATTATTATAATGACATACAATATATACTAATAATAATACAAAATAATAATTGTATATTATATATATGCCCAGTTAAATGCGCAATTCCAGAGGTTAGCCAGAAGAGATAAGGAACTATTTTTAAATAAGCAATGCATGGAAGTGGAAGAAGACAACAGAATAGGAAGGACAAGAGACCTCTTCCAGAAAATTAGAAACATTGGAGGTAAATTTCAGGCAAAAATTGGTATGATAAGAAACAAAGATGGCAGGGACCTAACAGAAGCTGAAGAGATCAAGGAAGGTGGCGAGACTATACAGAAGATCTGTATAGGAAGGATAATAATATTGAGGATAGTTTTGACGGTGTGGTGAATGAATTAGAACCAGACATCCTGAGGAGTGAGGTTGAATGGGCCTTACGAAGCATTGCTAACAACAAGGCAGCAGGAGATGACGGGATCCCAGCTGAACTGTTTAAAATCTTAAAAGATGATGCTGTCAAGGTGATGCATGCCATTTGCCAGCAAATATGGAAAACACAAGAATGGCCATCAGACTGGAAAAAATCAACTTATATCCCCATACCAAAAAAGGGAAATGCGAAAAGACTGCTCAAACTTCCGTACAGTGGCCCTTATTTCTCATGCCAGTAAGGTAATGCTCAAGATCCTGCAAGGAAGACTCCAGCAATACATGGAGCGAGAGTTACCAGATGTTCAAGCTGGGTTTAGAAAAGGTAGAGGAACGAGAGACCAAATTGCCAATATCCGCTGGATAATGGAGAAAGGCAGGGAGTTTCAGAAAAACATCTACTTCTGCTTCATTGACTATTCTAAAGCCTTTGACTGTGTGGATCATAATAAATTGTGGCAAGTTCTTGGTGGGATGGGCATCCCAAGCCCCCTTGTCTCTCTCCTGAGGAATCTGTACAAGGACCAAGTAGCAACAGTCAGAACTGACCACGGAACAACAGACTGGTTCAAGATTGGGAAAGGCGTACGGCAAGGCTGCATCCTCTCACCCAACCTTTTTAACTTGTATGCAGAACACATCATGCGATGTGCAGGGCTGGATGAATGCAAAGCTGGGGTGAAAATTGCTGGAAGAAACATTAACAACCTCAGATATGCAGATGACACCACTCTGATGGCCGAAAGCGAGGAGGAGCTGAGGAGCCTTCTAATCAAGGTGAAAGAAGAAAACGCAAAAGCCGGGTTGCAGCTAAACGTCAAAAAAACCAAGATTATGGCAACAAGAATGATTGACAACTGGAAAATAGAGGGAGAAACCGTGGAGGCCGTGACAGACTTTGTATTTCTAGGTGCAAAGATTACTGCAGATGCAGACTGTAGCCAGGAAATCAGAAGACGCTTACTTCTTGGGAGGAGAGCAATGTCCAATCTCGATAAAATAGTAAAGAGTAGAGACATCAGACTGGCAACAAAGATCAGCCTAGTCAAAGCCATGGTATTCCCTGTAGTAACCTACGGATGTGAGAGCTGGACCTTAGGGAAGGCTGAGCGAAGGAAGATCGATGCTTTTGAGCTGTGGTGTTGGAGGAAAGTTCTGAGAGTGCCTTGGACTGCGAGAAGATCCAACCAGTCCATCCTCCAGGAAATAAAGCCCGACTGCTCACTGGAGGGAAAGATACGAGAGACAAAGTTGAAGTACTTTGGCCACATCATGAGGAGACAGGAAAGCCTAGAGAAGACAATTATGCTGGGGAAAGTGGAAGGCAAAAGGAAGAGGGGCCGACCAAGGGCAAGATGGATGGATGGCATCCTTGAAGTGACTGGACTGACCTTGAGGGAGCTGGGGGTGGTAACGGCCGACAGGGAGCTCTGGCGTTGGCTGGTCCATGAGGTCACGAAGAGTCGGAGACGACTGAACGAATGAACAACAACATTATATATTACATGTAATATTACTAATAATACTGCAATAGAGTGGTATAGTACAATATAGTGATATATAAAACTAATATTGTGCTATGCTAATTATAATATATTGTATGCACATATAATAGTGAGGATAATATTGTAATACTATATAATACTAATAATATAATAATTTTATACTTTATATTATAATTATAATAATATTACAATATAATACAATATAGTAATGTATAATACAAGTTAAACCATAAATATTAGCAAATTCTGTGAAACACTAATTAAAACCACCCTGATAATATGAATATGAAACGAAATCGAAGGGCCTCCCTAACCTTTGAATATTACTAGTTTCCTCCAAAGATTTCCTTCAAAAGGAAGGCTTTTAGGCTCTTCAGTGATTCTACTGTAGTTGGGACCAACTAATAATATAAAGAAGAGGCATTTATTGTTTCTCAGATGGTTTGTATATATTTTTTTCCTGACAAAATACCCCATGTTCCGTTCCTCCTATTCCAGAAAATTGGAGAACGCCTTTGCCCAAGTTCTTGGCAATTTTCAAAGGATGGTATTACCAGTCTTCTTTGACCAAAAAGATCCCTCAGTATGATCACTTCTGTAATATTCTAGAGAGGCCATTTGACAGAGCTCACCAGCTATAGTAAGTGTGTTTTATGTGTCCTTATGTTTTTGCAAAGCCCAAGAATGCAGGTATTCAGATGGCCATATCGAAGGTGAATGCACCACAAGGGTTCCTGGGAAATGCACCACGCAGCTCAGTCTCATTCATCCAGATTGTACTCCTTGACAACAGGACAGGGTCACAGATTGGGACGCATGCTGAGCAGCTGGCTAAGGACATCATGGGAGATATAGCAGAACATGGTAATTATTTCATTCCTTTGTTGGTGCAGAGGCTTATTGAAAAAGATGTGTAGAATGCATTGGTGAGTTGCCTATGTCTCGAACTCAGACTGGTATTGAGTTTACTGTTGCTTTAAAGTTTAAAGAAACTCTTTCAGTGGCTGACTGGCTATACTGTTGAGTCATTGACTCAGCGTCCATGACAACAAGAGACAGTGATCCATGTTAACACCATTCCTTTCCATGGGATCCTGTTGTTGGGCAATGAAATGATTGGGCAATGAAATAGGACATGAAATTAAACCGGATGGAAAACTTTTGATGGTTCCCATCCCACTTGTTTTTCAGTTGTAAACATGGGAGTAAAGTGTGATAAGAGGTAGGAGCTCTGAACACAATTGCTGGCCCATGTTCAGAGATCCCTTCTTTCAGGACATTTCTGCCCCTTTTCAGCTCTGGAGCATGTGATGAGCTGCGTGCCTCTCCATGCTTGAAAAGAGGCTCAAGTGTCCTATGACTGGGAAATTTCTCAATGTGAAATGATGCTGAAAGAGAGAGAGCAGCTCAAGAACACATGAAAGTTTGGGAGAGCTTCGTAGCTGAAAGTAGTTTTTTTTCATGCCAGGAACGACTTGAAAAATGCAAGTCGCTTCTGTTGTGAGAGAATTGGCCGTCTGCAAGGACGTTGCCCAGAAGACGCCCGGATGTTTTGACGTTTTTCCATCCTTATGGGAGGCTTCTCTCATGTCCCCAGCTGGGGAGCTGGAGCTGACAGAGGGAGCTCATCCACGCTATACCCGAATTCGAACCTATGACCTGTCAGTCTTCAGTCCTGCCAGCACAAGGGTTTCACCCAATGCACCACTGCAATGGGTAGATTTGAACCTGTTTCTCAAATTTCCAATTGCAATCCAGCATGAGTCACAGAGTCTCAGTCGTATAAGACCAAGCAAAATCTAGTTTAACTGGATGAACAGTGTGATCTGGCATTAGGCAGCTCTCTGTGTGCCTTCTTTATGATCACGTATTGCAACGCAGGCCCAAGAGCTGTGAGTTCAAGGACATTCTGGCATTGTCTCGATTTAATGTTTGTACAAACGGGGAGTGCCAAACACAGTCTGTGAAACGTGAAGGTACTGTTCCAAGGGCTATACAGTTTTACACAGCTTTCTGCTCTGTAGATTTGTCAAGCCTTACTTCTCAGTTTTATCCTATCAGATTCTCACTTATGCACACATTTTAGCTTTTCCAGGCTCACTGGACCACGTTTTCATCAAGGACTATAAAAACAGAAAAACAAAGCTTGAGGAATTTGAAGCTGTCAGTGGGCTTGGTGGTGGTATTTGCTTGAATACCTTTTCAGTGTCAAGTGATAAGAAGGATAATAATAATACATGGGGCAGACATGAGAAAATCTTGTTTAAACTACAGCTCCCAGAATTCTCCAGCCAGTTATATAGTACAAATGAGTGACTTCCTCACCCTATGCACTGTTTATTAACCTTTATTGAAACCCCAAACATTGTGGAAATGGTCCCATATGGCTAAGAGGGATCTGGGTGCATTTGTGTATAATTGTTATTGGATGGGAGCCTTCGAAGTCTTCTAACAGGTTAATGCGGCTTCCTAGCCCCCCACAGTTACTCACCTCCCACTATATCTTCCTGTTCTAGGATCAGTCCGCTATTATTTTTTTCCATATCAGGAGCGACTTGAGAAACTGCAAGTCACCTCTGGTGTGAGAGAATTGGCTGTCTGCAAGAACATTGCCCAGGGGACACCTGGATGTTTTTTGATGTTTCACCATCCTTGTGGGAGTCTTTTCTCATGTCCCTGCATGGGAAGCTCCCTCTGTCAGCTCATCCACACTCTCCCTGGATTCGAACCTCTGACCAGTCTGTCTTCGATCCTGCTGGCACAAGGATTTAACCCATTGTGTCCCCTCGAGCGTGTTCTGATTCAGCCATCTCCTCAGAAGGAGATAATGGTGTTTTACTATTTGACACATCATTTTTTTCTCTAAAAGAAAGCTGGGGAATATGTGGCCCAAAGATCAACTGTATGCTCTAGACCTCACATGAGCATCAACTGAACCTACACCATTTTTTGACCTCACAACCATCCCCATTTTTTTTTAAAAAAAATGCATGATTTTTAGGCACTTTTCATCCAACAATGAGCAAAATTCCCAAAATTCTCCCAGAATCTTACCCTTGTAAATTATCTTTTGAGATTATCTCAAAATGGAAACAACATCAAACATGGTTTTGAGATGGGCTCTGAAATAAAATGGAGGGACATGAGTGTGGAGGGCATGCCTAGAAGATGAAAAATTGTTCCCTGGCTGCCATAGTTGCTTTAAAACAAAATGAGCACTTTCCATGTATCTTGTTTACAAGCAACATTGGGTTGTTGTAGATTTTTCGGGCTATATAGCCTCACAACCTCTCAGGATGCTTGCCATAGATGCAGGCGAAATGCTTCTAGAACATGGCCATATAGCCCAAAAAATCAACAACAACCCAGTGATTCCAGCCATGAAAGCCTTTGACAATACAACATTAAATTCTCAGAAGCCTTCCGAAAGCACATGAATGTTTTAAAGCAAGTTCTGTGAGAAATGCACACTTCATTTTTTTTCCGTGTCAGAAGTGACTTGAGAAATTGCAAGTTGCTTCTGGTGTGAGAGAATTAGCTGTCTGCAAGGATGTCACCCAAGGGATGCCCAGATGTTTTTTGATGTTGTGGGAGGCTTCTCTCATGTCCCTGCATGGGGAGCTAGAGCTGACAGAGGGAGCTCATCTGTGCTCTCCCCGGATTCAAACCTCTGACCTGTTGGTCTTCAGTCCTGCCAGCACAAGGGTTTAACCCACTGCACCACTGGGAGCTATTAAAGATATAGGAGTTGTTGTTTGCTTTCAATCAGCCTGAAACGTCATCTTCCTTTTTTCTTACTGCTTCCATTTTACCAGGCATTATTGCCTCCTCTAGTAAATCACATTGTCTCATGATAGGTCCAAAGTATAACAGCTTTAGTTTAGCTATCTTGGCTTCTAGTCAGAATTCAAGCTTGATGTGTTCTAAGACCCATTCATGTTTTTTTCAGCAGTCCAAGGAATGTGTAGAACTATTCTTCAGTGCTATATTTCTTATGAGTTGATGTTTTCTCTGTCAGATACCTTCGCCAACTGGCTTCACTATCCAGCTTTGACACCCTTGCATAGAAAAATACAGGAGATCAAGCCCATATTCAGCCTAGCAGCCTTACTGTCATATTTATGCCTTTACAATATGCCAAATTTCTAAATTTGCACTTTATTATGATATGTTATCTATTAATGGACAAGGAATACCAGGTTTTCAAATACCTTCAGAGCATCTGCCACCATCTGGACCAACTGTTAGTTCTTTTCTCATGCCAACGGGTGACTAACTCCGCTGTCAGACACATGAATGTGAGTCCCAATGGGCACTGTGTGACTTGCTTGCTAGTAAATATCTGATTGCGCTGTGAAGAAATTAATAGTCCCACAGCATTTGCTTTATCAGTTTTATCAGTTTCAAACTAGTAGCAGGTAGTGGAAGAATAGATCATTTGCTACCTTCCTTTGCTCGCTCAGGAAACAACTACTTGCTGCCAGGAGCAAATTGGGTCTAGATTATATTTATTTACTTACTTAGATGATCCCTCGTAGCTCAAGGATGATTGTCTTCCAGATGTTGTGTCTTGACGGTGGGTCTGCAGGTGATTGCAGAGCCCTATTATTGATCCGTATGTTCTCCCGCAGTGAAGACATCAGTTTCCAGGTGGAAGGCAGTCCCAGTCAGGGTTGGCTTGACATGCCTTCCTCTTGGCACATTTCTCCCTTTCACCCTCCATTCGTGCTTCTTCGAATTCTGCAGCACTGCTGGTCACAGTTGACCTCCAGTAAGAGTGCTCAAGGGCCAAGGCTTCCCAGTTCTCAGTGTCACAGTTTTTGAGGTTGGCTTTAATCCCATCTTTAAATCTCTTTTCCTGTCTACCAATGTTCCGTTTTCCATTCTTGAGTTCGGAGTAGAGTAACTGCTTTGGAAGACAGTGATCGGGCATTCAGACAATGTGGCCAGTCCAGCAGAGTTGATGGTGGGGGACCATCGCTTCAATGCTGGTGCTCTTTGCCTCTTCCAGCATGCTGACATTTGTCCGCCTCTCTTCCCAAGAGATTTGCAGGATATTTTGGAGGCAGCACTGAGGGAATCTTTCCAGGAGTTGTGTGTGACATCTGTAGACAGTCCATGTTTTCCAGGTGTATAGCAGGGTTGGGAGGACAATGGCTTTATAAACAAGCACCTTGGTATCCCTATAGATGTCCCCCCTTAAGATTATATTTATGCACTCTCTTGCCCAGGGGGGCAAGGATGTTCTGACATTTCAACACAATGTGAAAATGTGTCAATCCTGCAAGGTTTTTCACTGGTGTTTGTTCATTTTCTCCCTATTTTCATTGGTTTTCAAGAAAATGCTTCCCCCCCCCCCCTCCTCAAAGCAGCATTTTGGAAACTGCTGCAGTATGTTTACAAAAGTCTCAAATGTGCAAAATAATTGAAAAATGTGTAAAATTTCTTGCAGTCTTATACATCAGAGAGAAAGCTTTTGAAACTGCTCATTTTCATTCTCTTATATGAAATAAGCAAAGATTTATAACCTGGTAGCAAAACTCACTGGGGTGAGCAAATCAGCCAAAGAGGAATGGCAGAGAGGAGCCATCTGGCAGGAAATGGATGACTTACTCCATGCAAACGTATTAGGCTTCTGTTTTGAGCTGTGATATGCTTTGCAGGGCAATCCTTTGGCATTGTGACTGGCAACTTGAAAGCAGCAACTGGCAATACCTGGGATGCTCAAAGGACAGATGGCCACACCAGTGCTACGATCGCTGCGACAGTTGTTGGTGTCATCCTTCTCCTTTCACTGATGGGAACTGTTCTGCTTCTTTACAGAAAGGGGATATTAAGGTAACAGGGCTTATTCTGAAACACTCGCAATCTTCAGAAAGTGTTTGTAGTATGATCTTTCTAGATCTGTGCCACAAGGGAAAGCACTTTAAGACTCTCCCATGCTCTGTGATTATAGTCAAATTCTTGCATAGCAAAAAGTAAATTAAGATTGAATTTTGCTTCTTTGACAGAGCTTGGAAATATATGTGTGTATACAATGTATATGTATGCCCACACCCACAGCTTTCATAGTGTAGTCGTTCATCAACTGTTATTTATCTATCAATCTATCTTTACATTTCACCTCCTAAAACAGCATTTATAAACCTGGGGGTCGGGACCCCTGGGGTGTGTGTGAGAGGGGTCGCCAAAGGCCATCAGAAACCACAATAATTTCTGTTGGTCATGAGGGTTCTGTGTGGGAAGTTTGGCCCAATTCTATCATTGGTGGGGCTCAGAATGCTCTTTGATTGTAGGTGAACTATAAATCCCAGCAATTACAACTCCCAAATGTCAAGTTCTATATTACCTAAACCCCACCAGTGTTCACATTTGGGCATATTATGTATTAGTGCCAAGTTTGGTCCAGACCCATTATTTTTTGAGTCCACAGTGCTGTCTGGATGTAGGTGAACTACAACTCCAAAAGTCAAGGTCAATGCCCACCAAACCCTTCCAGTATTTTCTGTTGGTCAGTGGAGTTCCGTGTGCCAAGTTTGGTTCAGTTCCATTGTCAGTGGAGTTCAGAATGCTCTTTGATTATAGGTGAACTATAAATCCCAGCAAGTACAACTCCTAAATGACAAAATCAACACCCCACCAACCCCACCAGAATTCAAATTTGGGCATATTGGATATTTGTGCCAAATTTGGCCCAGTGAATGAAAATACATTCTACATATAAGATATTTACAATTCATAACAGTAGCAAAATTACAGTTCTGAAGTAGCAGAAAAAATAATGTTGTGGTTGGGGGTCATCACAACATGAGGAACTGTATTAAGGGGCCACGGCATTAGGAAGGTTGAGAAACACTGTCCTAGAATTTCTGCATTTTGGAAGGTCTAGCTTGAAAGGGTTACTTTTCCAAGCTTTTTTCACAGCCTATTAATAATCAATCATAGAATGTTAGCCACAATCAAATTAGTGCCCCTCCTGTTTTGGTTCAGTAGCACAACAGTTTCTGCTCTTGAGTTCTCAGATATTGCTGGACTTCTACTCTCAGATGCCGGAGCCAACATGGCCAGTGGTCAAGGATTTTGTCTTTGTATTCCAACAACAGGTGGTGACTCATATGTTAGAAAGTAGTGCAGTAATAGAACATGCAATGCTTTGCATGAAAATCAAGAGAGATGCGAGTCACTGCTTTGTACATATACATCTGGTAACATTTAATGAAGCAGCAGTTCACTCAAGTTCTCTGCTCAGGATTCAGAAAAACATGAGTGTGTAAGTGAGTCATCTATCAACTCAGGGCAGTTCCATGAATTTAATAGGGTTTCCTTAAGCAAGGAATATTCAGAGATGGTTTGACCAGTTCCTTCCTCCTCCTTCTTCCAAGATCAGATGGCATCTGGTAGGATGTTCAGGCCTTAGTCAGTTTTTTAAAAGTATTGTACAGATAAGCAGGTTTGCATCCGTACTCAATTTAAGCATTCATTAAGTGCTGGGATTCCAATATATTTCTTTTTTAGGCTGTTCTACTATTTATTTTATTTCATGCATTTCTACCCTGCCCTTCTCCATCCAAAGGGGGACTCAGTACGGTAATTCACATTCCTTGGTGCAGAACATCCTCTCACAAAGATAGCAAGTTGCCTAGGCACATTCTATATTGTATGTAAGAACTCAAATATCTTAAATGATATCATCTGATGAAGAACCTACAAACCAGATATATTACCAACAGGCACTGCAATACATTGTTTTGATATAACCAGAAAGAGATGGAAAGAGGGAAAGAAGGAAAGACAAAAGGAAGGATGGAAGGGATGGATGGATAGAGAAATAGCGAGAGGAGGGAAATAGAGAGGAAGGATGAAAGGGTGGAAGGGAGGGATGGAAGGAGAAAGAGGGAGGGAAGGAAGGACAAAAGGGTGGAAGGGAATGGAGGGAGGGAGAAAGAGGGAAGGAAAGGCAAAAGGGATGAAAGGAAGGATGAAGCATTGGAAGGGAAGGATGGAAGGAGAAAGAGATCAGAGATCAGTGAGAGCAGTTGCTGTTGCAACGGCAATATAAAGCCATTGGAAGCAGTTATGAACCTACCTGCCCTGTCTCCCTTTTTTCTGTATTTAGACCCTAGCCCAGGTATGGGCAAACCCAGGCCCAGGGGCTGGATGTGGCCTTTGGGCTCTTTTCTTAGGTCCTTCTGTCTCTCACCATCCTATCCATCCTTCCTTCTCTCTTTCCTTCCTCCTTCCCTCCCTCCTTCCTCCTCTTCCACCCTTTCGTCCTTCCTTCTCTATTCCCTCCCCCCCTCCATTCATCCATCTCTTTTGTCTTTCTTTCCTTCCTTCCTTCTTTCCCTCATTATTTCTTTCTCCTTCCATCCTTCCCTTCCAATGCTTCATCCTTCCTTTCATCCCTTTTGCCTTTCCTTCCCTCTTTCTCCCTCCCTCCATTCCCTTCCACCCTTTTGTCCTTCCTTCCCTCCCTCTTTCTCCTTCCATCCCTCCCTTCCACCCTTTCATCCTTCCTCTCTATTTCCCTCCTCTCGCTATTTCTCTATCCATCCATCCCTTCCATCCTTCCTTTTGTCTTTCCTTCTTTCCCTCTTTCCATCTCTTTCTCCTTCCATCCTTCCCTTCCACTGTTTCATCCTTCCTTTCATCCCTTTTGTATTTTCCTCCTTTCCTCTTTCTCCCCTCTTTCCCCCTCTTCCTTTTTCTCCTTCTATCCTTCCCTTCCTCCCTTTTGTCCTTCCTTTTCTCTTTCCTTCCCTTCCTTCCTCCCATCACCCGACAGCCAGTCCTCCTAGTAGGGAGTGGGAGCATGCGACCCCCAAGTTAGAAAGTTTTCCCATGCTTGCCCTAGCCTAACCCAGCCCATTTATCTGTTCATCAGCCTATCAGGAGTAAATTTCATCAATTATTTGTACAAAACCTGTTAGCTATCAATAAAGAGTGTTATTGGCACCATTCATCTTTGTTTAGTTGCATCTGTTGATTTTTCTTCTTCTTCCTGTCAGAGACAATTCTCTAGCATAGTCTCTTGGGGCCCTTCCACACAGCCATATAACCCAGAATATGAAGGCAGAAAATCCCACAATATCTGCTTTGAACTGGGCTATCTGAATCCACACGGCCATATATTCCAAAGCAGATAATGTGGGGTTCTATCCAGTTGTGTGGAAGGAGCTTAGGTCTCTCTATCTGACATCACACACGACACTGGTGATTACAAGGCTAAATTGCACCTGGCCAGCTGTCTGGTTTTACTGGGTTATTTTTTAATCTCTTGTTTATATTATATTGCTACTGCTGAACAGTAGTTGGCTAAAAGCCCAGAACCAGATCTAATATACAATGGCCTTCTGACTCTTTTAATTTTATGTCTACACATCATTTGTCAGTCAGGTGCACACATATATTTCCATTTTGTTGTTGTGTGCCTTCAAGTCACTACCTGTTTACGGTGACCCTGAGTGATTTCTAAGCCTAAGAGTGTGACTTTTCCAAAGTCATCCAGTGGATTTTCATTCCTGAGCAGGGATTCCAATCTTGTTCTCCAGAACTGTAGTCCAGTGCTCAAATCACTATGTTTCATGGACCCAAAACTACGCGTCAATTATGGCATCTAACCTATCATAACTGTTCTACTAAAATCCTCTAGCTTGGCTGCATTTGTACTCATGGGGAACCCTTGGTTTCTCTAACTATCCATTTGGATCACCATTCCCCTATATGCAGTCTTGCCTGTACAAAATATTTTAGCTAGGCATAATAATAATAATAATAATAATAATAATAATAATAATAATAATTATTATTATTATTATTGTCGAAGGCTTTCATGGCCGGGATCACTGGGTTGTTGTAGGTTTTTCCGGGCTATATGGCCATGTTCTGGAGGCAATTTTTCTCCTGACGTTTCGCCTGAATCTATGGCAAGCATCCTCAGAGGTAGTGAGGTGATTATTATTATTATTATTATTATTATTATTATTATTATTACCTACCTCTCCTTATGGCTTGAGGAGGGGTACAACATAATTAAAATATATCATAATATTGAAATACAACTGGTGCACTACTGGTTTGGAAACAATGGGTGCTTAAGTTCCCCTAAGAAAATTTGTTTCAGGATCCCAATCAAACTCTACTTCAGAGACTGAGCCTTTCGATTCTTGCTATGGAAGCTGATGGCAAACCAACTTAATGACATCATAACTTTTGTTCTCATGGTGACTTGATTTCTTGTTGACTCCAATTCTTCACCTGCCATTGGCCCTACCTTGGTTGGTTACATTTTGCTACATGGCCTAACCTGCTGGTTGATCTCTCTTTTGTTAAAAAAGTCCTCTTTCCTTCTTGGCTATCTAAAGTTGTCACCAGCAGTCCAACTCCATAAGGAATTATGGATCCCCTTTTACTTGGACAGGAGATACAACAGTCTTGAGCCACATCATTTTCTAGATTGTGCCAGAGACCCACAGCCAGCAATATCCTTTCACAATTTGGGGCAGATAGTGCAAAGGCACAAAGTCTTTGATGTGAGTGGATTGAGAGAGCTTGCCAAACAACCTTAAAATGACCAGCTCCTGATTGCAGATCTGCGGTCTCAAAACAGCACGAAAACACATGCTGCAGCTATGCATGAGATATTGTGGCTGGTCATGGTGTATGCGTGCCCTTGGCAAGCATCCATCCAGGTCCCAAATGTTCCTTCAATGCACTCTGAAGGATAATCCCAGTTCTCTATGTGTTCTACCAGCTGGCAAACCAATGCTCCATGCTTTGCGCATTTGTGCTGCTCCTGTTCATTAGTGCTAGTCTCCCACCCAAAACCAGGCAACAAAGCTCTTGGGCCCTGCTTGTTTTCTTGCTAGTGTCAAACTGATTAGCATTTCTTAGCAATAAAACAGTTGACTTGTTTAATGTCTAAATAAAACCCTAAACTTCCATTGCTGATAACATCTCATGGCTTTGGGTGTGAAAGCAGGCCATTACTTTGAAACAACTTCTTTCTTCCAAACTTTTCCTCCCTTGGTGTCCATGAGAGGCTTGGAGTTCCTTGGACAAACCTGAGGTGTATCTAGATCAAGAGTGAGCAACCCCTTCTAGTCCAAGGGTGGAATTTCCTGTTCCAGACAAGTTCTTGGGAATTGTATTCTAGTGGTGAGTAGGGCCAGCATCAAAAAGATAGGACCAAACTCCAGCCTATTGCAGTCTAAAGCTCTTACTGCCAGTTACTAAGACTTTGGATAAGTATTTCATTATTTCAGTATAGAAATACCTTGGAGTCTGTCATAGTTTCATAGAATTGGAAGTGACTGTAAGGGCATTCATTCCAACACCAGGAATATACAGCTCTTGAGAGATACAGCCTTTGTTTGAAGTCCTCCAATGAAGGAGTCTTTGTCCTTCTGAGTCAATCAATTTCATTGTTGAAAGCCTCTTGCAGTCAAGAAGTTCTTTTTAATTTTTAGGTGGAATCCTCTTTTCTTGTCATTTGAATCCACTGATCCTGGTTATTGATTCTGGGATAGCAGAAAACAAGCTCACGCCATCATTTACATGGGATTCCAGTTGAGATATGGCCAGGCATGATCAAGTGAGGAAAGCAGAAGCAGACCCAGAGGTTGGAAATCTTACTTTAGGGACTACAGCTCTCAGAACTCTCTTCCCAGCATATCCATACTAGTTTCAGGATGCGGATAGTTGTAATGACCTTCAAAATGACCTTTTCAACCTCTTGTCAGAACAAGGCAGAAGCAAAGGATAAGACTTAGGTTGGAGCACCAAGCAATGACCTAAGTCAAGTAGCCTTTTAGTACTCAGAGATTTTACCAACCAGGCCCATTTGACCAACTTATTACTGAAACGGGGCTTGGCTTGGGGCTGCTGATTTCTCTGCCAATGCTCAACTTTCAACTCTGTTCCTCTTGGACTTTAGTGGGAACTTTTGCTTTTGTTTTGTTTTCAGATTTTTTTATTTTTTATTTTGTGAAGACTTCTCTTAATTTTCTCACTGGTTCATTTTTATTATTGTTGACTGAGCTTAGTGAAATATACAATTTAATTGATGAGTCTCTGCAATAACTGTAATTGGTTTTAAATGTTTAATATTTATTTATATCTTATTTCTGGATGTTATTATGCTTTGTGTGATTTTTATCTTGTATTTTATGTTAAATTTGCTTTGACTTGAATTGTATTATATTTATACACTCTGTATTTGCTATATGGTACTGAAGTGGCCTGAACTGTAAGCAGCTTTTAGTGATTATAGAGTTTTTATTTTAAGAAACTACGATTAGGACAGCAAATAAAGAGCAACATTCCAAAAACAGGGGAAATCCCGACAAGAATCAATCAGGGCCAGCTAATCCAACAAAGGATTTCCCCAAGCAGCAATCAACCAGTCATTAAAGCTACAAGGCCATTAAAAGCAAGGTGGCCAATTGTAACATTCACACTTGCCTGAAGCAGACAAGAGTTCTTTCTCCCATCCTGGACATTTCACAGATCGTAGAAACCTCACTTGCATAGTTTCCAACAGACCTCACAACCTCTGAGGATGCCTGCCATAGATGTTAGTGAAACGTCAGGAGAGAATGCTTCTGGAACATAACCATACAGCTTGGAAAACTCACAGCAACTCAATGATTCCGACCATGGAAGACTTCAACACAACAATCCAAGAAGCTTCAAAGATTTAAATGACTTCACCTGTCAAAGCTGTTTCTCTTAATCCCCCCCCCCTTTTTCTTTTTATAGATGTCGATCCACCTTGCATGCTAGCTTCCCTTGGCACCGCCAATGGGACGTAGAGCCTTCAGAAGACTCAAATGACAGAGGATTTGATAATCCCATGTTTGACACTCCATCCACCCCAGAAGTAAGTATCCTTGTTTATATTTTTCTGTTTATGTATGAATCATAGAGTTGGAAGAGACCTCATGGGCCATGCAGTCCAACCCTCTGCTATGAAGCAGGAGAATTGCATTCAAAGCACCCCTGAAAGATGGCCATCCAGCCTCTGCTTAAAAGCCTCCAAAGAAGGAGCCGCCACACTCTGGGTTAGAGAGTTCCACTGTTGAACGGCTCTCACTGTTAGGAAGTTCTTCTTCATGTTCAGGTGGACTCTCCTTTCCTTTAGTTCCAAATCCATTGTTCCGTGTCCTAGTCTCCAGGGCAGCAGAAAACAAGCTTGCTCCCTCCCTCCTCCCTATGACTTCCCCTCACATATTTATACATGGCCATCATGTCTCCTCTCAGCCTTCTCTTCCACAAGCTAAACATGCTCAGCTGTTTAAGCCTCTCCTCATAGAGCTCGTTCTCCAGACCCTTGATCATTTTAGCCACCCTCCTCTGGACACATTCCAGCTTAGAGTCAACATCTCCCTTCAATGGGACACAGTATTCCAGGTGCCAATTCCAAGGCAGAATTGAGGGGTAGCATGACTTCCCTGGATCTAGACACTATACTCCTATTTATGCAGGCCTTAGAAGTGTCTGTTCATAGACATGGAAAGTAGGGACACTAATGATGGATTTCCCCATTTGAATTCCATTTACTGACTGATTCATTTAAATACTGTACAGAGTGTAGTAGGATCTCCTTCTCTGGAGGTTTGAAACACAGGCTGAATGACCTTCTGTTGAGAGTGCTTTATGTGTTCCTTCATGGCAGGGGGTTAGACTAGATGATCTTTGGGGTATCTTCCAGTTCTGTGTCTAGAATTCTATGTATTATTTTCCTTCTCTTTATTGTGAGATTGCAGAGCATCCTAAAAATAAGACAATGTAAATAATTTAAAAACAACTTCAAATTAAAGCTATAAAATATAATTCAACCAAGGTAAAACATATTAATCAACAAGTTAAAAGAGCTTAGAGTGTTACAACACTTTAGAGTATTTGTTTACAATATTTGTAAATTAAGCCCCACAGGATTTCATTAAAAAATATTTTGACTTGACAGTAGAAAGAAACCAAAGCTGATGCTAATCAAACTTAGATCTGCCAACACTGTGCTGACACAATGGGCAACATCCCTTCCAGTAGATCCCATTTTGCGGGCAGGGATATAGGAGCTGGTGTAGTGATTTGAGGGTGATGACTGTGGTGACCAGGGTTGAAAATGTTCCTTGGCCATAGAAACCAAGGGAGGTTTCTATGCTCCCTTGGTTGAGTTACATTTGGAACCACTTTTTCTACACTCAATGGAGCTATCCAAAGTTCTGAGCCTATTTGCAGCAAGGATGGGATTCAGCACCTTGGATAGCTCCTTGTGAAGTTTAAATCGGGGCTTCTTAAACTTTTCCATCTTGTCACCCCATTCTGCGTAATATTTTTTTAAAGCAACCCTGGGTATATAAATATATAAAATAGGTATTAAAAATTGAACATTTGCCAATGATAGCATTTGCAAGGCTTTCTAAACAGGCTGATTTTCCTTTTTTGAGGTATGGATGAAGCTTCTTCTACAGAATCCACAGTTAACAAGGCATGTTGTTGCTAACAGATTTGTATATATGTCTAAAACAGCCACTAGGTCAGTGTTTCTCAATCTGGGGGTCGTGACTCCTGGGGGGATTGCGGGGGGGGGGGGGGGGGGGGGGGGGGGGTGTCAGAGAAGTTGCTAAAGTTCATCAGAAAACAAAGTATTTTCTCTTGGTCATAGGGATTCTGTGTGGGGAGTTTGGCCCAATTCTATTGTTGGTGGCATTCAGAATGCTCTTTGATTGTAGGTGAACTGTAAATCTCAACAACTACAACTCCCAAATGTCAAGGTCTGTTTTCCCCAAATTCCACCTGTGTTCATACTTGGGCATATTGAGTATCCATGCCAAATTTTATCCAGATCCATCATTGTTTGACTCCGCAGTGCTCTCTGGATATAGGGGAACTACAACTCCAAAACTCAAGGTCTATGCCCACCAAACCCTTCCAGTATTTTCTGTTGTTCATGGGAGTTCTGTGTGCCCAGTTTGGTGTAATTCCATCATTGGTGGCATTCAGGTAGCTCTTTGATTGCAGGTGAACTATAAATCCCAGCAACTACAACTTCCAAATGTCAAGTTCTATTTTCCCCAAACTCCACCATTGTTCACAATACAATATATTGAGTATTCGTGCCAAGTTTGGTCCAGATCCATCATTGTTTGAGTCCACAGTGTTCTCTGGATATAGGTGAACTATATCTCCAAAACTCAAGGTTAATGCCCACTAGAACCTTCCAATATTTTCTGTTGGTCATGGGAGTTCTGTGTGCAAAGTTTAGTTCCATTCCATCACTGGTGGAGTTCAGAATGCTCTTTTATTGTAGGTGAACTATAAATCCCAGCAACTACAACTCCCAAATGACAAAATCAATCCCCCCACCACCAACCCCACCAGTTTTCAAATTTGGGCGTATGGGGTATTTGTGCCAAATTTGGTCTAGTGAATGAAAATACATCCTGCATATCAGATAATTACATAACAGGAGCAAAATTATAGTCATGGTAGTAGCAATGAAAATAATGTTATGGTTGGGGGGTCACCACAACATGAGGAACTGTATCAAGGGGTTGCGGCATTACGAAGGTTGAGAAACACTGCACTAGTTCAGAAATCTTTTGCTGGTCCCAAATTTTTCCAAACCCCATTTTATCTTAAATGTTGGTTAAGGACCCACAGTTTAAGAAGCAGTTGCTTAAACTTCCACCCAGTTTGCATTTAGTGCGACATTGGCGTCTCAGGCCTTCACCAACATTATCGCATGGCCCTTGGGACCCTCACATGAACCATAGAATTCTGAAGCATTAAAATAATATTGCCTCTCCATTGAAAAAGCCCTCTGAAGGCATTTTACAGATAAAACATTAAATGATGGGAAATGTAAAATATGATTAACTGAAACAGCGGCCCCCAGACATTTTGCTTCAATACAAATCCACTAAATAAAAATGACAGCAATAGATAAAACCACAGCTTTTGAGAGTTAAGCCCACTTCACTTATTCAGCTAAAAGCAGATTGGAACATCCCAGTCTTTAAGGCCTTTAAAAACATCAAAGAGTGAGCAATTGAGACAGAAGTTGCTTTTTGTATGGCTCTGAGCTCAGCTTGGGAAATTTATTTTTTTGAGGAGTGGGAACTATAGCTTTCAGAATCTGTAAACTGGGGAATTCTAGTATGACTTTCCCTTCTCCTCCTCTTAATCAGTACAGATTAGAAACATCCAAAACCATCACAACACACACACATACACACTTTAATAAAAGATGGAATATTTAAAAACTCCACAAAGTGGAACACCATTAAAAAGTTCATTACACCTATTCCTAAAACTCAATGGAAAAAGTTTTCATCTGTTAGGAAAAGGAGAACAAGAAGGAAGCTATCCTAGCTTTGTATTGTCGAAAGCTTTCATGGCCGGAATCACTGGGTTGTTGTAGGTTTTCTGGGCTATATGGCCATGTTCTAGAGGCATTTTCTCCTTGCCTCTAGAACATGGCCATATAGCCCGGAAAACCTACAACAACCCACTATCCTAGCTTTTCTAGGAAGGGAGTTCCAAAGGTTGGTGGCCGCTGCAAAGAAATATATCTCCTGAAATGTTGTGGAAGAGAAAAAACGGCCCTCTTAAGACCTTAAAACTTGAACATATTCATATAGTGAAATATGGCCCTCCAAACAGCTTGGATTGGAGCTACATACAACTGGGGAAAAGTAAGATTTCTCAACTCTGGTTCTGAGACTAAGCTGCCATAAACATAGATGAATTCCAAAGGAAAGCCAAAGAGCTATTGGATATATTCCTCCTTGCTGGGTGAATTCCAAATAAATCCAAAGGAACGAGTATGAGGAAATAGTTTATGAGGACTTCCAGATAAGAAAGAAAAAATGACCTGGGAAGTCCAGACTTTGTTCCAGTACAAACCACTTTTATTCTGGAGAGCCACGTCTGGTTTTCTTCATCCTGATAAGCTTAAACTGAACATTCTCCAGTTCAGTTTAAATCAACCCAATGCTTGGCTCTGTGGCTGCTGATATATTCTTTATCATTAGACCTAGCTAAATGATCACCACCAGCAAGTGACCCTGGAAACAATGGCTACAGGGTTGTTGTAGGTTTTTCAGGCAATATGGCCATGTTCTAGAAGCATTCTCTCCTGGCGTTTCACCTGGATCTATGGCACGCATCCTCAGAGGTTGTGAGGATGTCTGCCATAGATGCAGGTAAAACGTCAGGAGAGAATGCTTTAGAACATGGCCATATAGCCCGAAAAACCAACAGCAATCCAGTGATTCCAGCCATGGAAGCCTTTGGCAATACATTGAACAATAGCTACAGTTTCCAGGACAGATTTAATAGAGACCAAGCAAAGGAAAGAGTGGCTAGCACAGTGGATTAAACCACCAGCTACAACAGATTTTGCCAACTGGAAGGTTGGCAAGTTCAAGCTGAGGGTAAGGGTGAACTCCTGCCATCAGTCCTAGCTTGTGCTTATCTAAGGTAAAGGTACCTGGCGTGGAAAATGAAACAAAAGCACCACCCCATGGCCGAGTCGAGAACAGTCTCTAGATGCCAAAGATGAAAAAAGAGGGAAGCCTTGCCTCTGTTTATGTACTGTCTGTCTTTGTTATCAATTGTATGAAGGTGTTGAATGTTTGCCTTATATGTACTCTGTAATCCACTCTGAGTCCCCTTGCGGAGATAGAGCGGAATATAAATAAAGTATATTTATTATTATTATTATTATTATTATTGTTATTATTATTATTAAACTTAGCACTAAAACAAAATGATCCCATTACTTAGATAGTGGAATATTGTTAAAGCACTTTGACTAGAAGTCCCTGGATGTTAATTTTAAAAGGCTCAGTAGGAATTTTCTAGAGGACTTAGAAAATTTCTAGACAAGATGTGTTTTGTTGGATGTGAGTAGGTGAAAGCACAGGTACCAGCCGTACTGCATCTCCATGTGCAATGAACTGACCTCCCTCATGCACAGCCTCAAGCTGATGGCACAGAGGCCATGAAACTTCCAGACAACAGATGCAGCTGTGCTAGGTTGGCAGAAGCTAGGTCTAATAGCGGGAGCTCACCCCGTACCATGGCTTTGAGCTGCCGACCTTCTGGTCAGCAAGTTCTGCAGCTTCGGGGTTTAACCCGCTGTGCCATTGCGGCTCTATCATCTATCTATCTATCTATCTATCTATCTATCTATCTATCTATCTATTAGGGCTGGGCAGTTTCATTTCGTTAATTCGTAATTCGTTAAAAATTCGTTATTTTTTTTATAACGAAGCGATAACGAACCATTCTGGAGCAACTTAAAAACAAAACGAATTTTTAAATTCGTTTCGTAAATGCTTCGGATTCGTTATGTATTCGTTTCGTTATCGGTTTGAGGTCGTTTCGTTATTATTTCCGCATGTCTGGGGCAAGTTTTATAGTTGTTTTTTGTTTAATTAGTGAAAAAAATTATAATATCACACCAACAGTCAACAACAGAGGGAGAGGGAAGCTTCAGAAGTTCCCCCTGTCCCATTTGGAGGTTTTTAGCGTATTGCGCGGTCGCGTCCGCCATTAACGAATCGATTCGTTATTGTTTCGTATTTGGTTCGTTAATGTTTCGTAATTTTTTTAACATTTACGAAATTTTGTAAATATCGAACTTTTTTAAAGAAAAATTTCGGAATTCTTTTAAATATCGAAACGCAAAAAACCCCAAAAAACGAATCGATTTTAGAAACAATTTTTTCCGTTGTTACCCAGGCTACTATCTATCTATCTATCTATCTATCTATCTATCTATCTATCTATCTATCTATCTATCTATCGGAGCCCTCGATGGTGCAATGGGTTAAACCCTTGTGCCAACCCATAGGATGATAAAAACATCTGGGCGTCCCCTGGGCAATGTCCTTGCAGACAGCCAATTCTCTCACACCAGATGCAACTTGCAGTTTCTCAAGTCACTCCTGACATGAAAAAAAATGCTCTCTGATCCATGGCAGAAAACATACAACTCTTTAGAACTTTAGATCAGGGACCAAAATATTTATTAATTTCATCAAGTACAGAACCGAATGCTCATCATGATCAGGACTATTGCATGGAATGGCATCTAAACCTTGATCTTTGCTGAGGTTTGGGTTTGGGACCATATCCAAAATAGCGCAAAACAAGAATAAAATAGATAATTAAGTGCTCACCATAATGTGGAGGGTTTGGTCCTTACAAATGATAGAAATGGGAAGGTTTTGTGCAGCCTAAGCAACTTTGCATTTGCATTACAGGTTTGCCAAAAAAAAAAGTATTTAGAGTATAAAATCCAGCTTTTTAAAAGTTGAGAAATGGGTTATCATGTGCAGAGCAAACGAACAGCCTTGAGCATTGCTTTGTGAAATATAAGTGCTGCGTTGACAGTATAGATTCCTCTCAGCTCGCAAGATCTACTTTCTCTTCAAAGTATTTAAGCTCTCAAGTTAATATTTTTCACCCAATGTATTAAACACTTCTCTCTCCCACCCTTCTCTCTCTCTCTCCCTCTCTCTCTCTCCCATAGGCTTTAGCGGTTGTGTGTTCTGTGGAGGAGACACTGGAGAAGATGGGAAGCAAAAATAGCGAACTTTATTACATTAATCCCTTATACGATGAAACAGAACTTAGTGCTTAAAATCAAAGCTGTCATTCTGGCTAAGTCTCCATCAGCTGTATTTCACATGCTGTTTCCTATCAGTAGCTCAAGCTTCCAGATTTGGACCATAAAATCAAGCTCATGCAGAGAGACCATTCATTTCAGTGGCGATTGCGCAAAGAGGCTTCCCAATGCATCACACCCAATTCTTTTTGGAAAAATGTCTTGTCTTAAATGATAAGTTAATTGTATAATGGCAGTCTAGCCAAGTACAGTATTCATGGGAATAAAACTGTTTGCAAATTCATTCATTCTTGGCTGTGGTCTATGTTAAATTACTTTTAAGTTTGTTAGTGACATAGCTGGTAAGAAACCCCAAAAATATACAATGGCTTAAATCCAATTGAACATTACAGTTCAGTCCATGCTAGCACAATTCCAGTATATTATACCAGTGTATAATTACTTTGGAAGTCATAGAGATATAATTCAACCGGTGGAGAAGTGGGTTAAACCCCTGTGTCGGCAGGACTGAAGACCGACAGGTCGCAGGTTCGAATCCAGGGAGAGACGGATGAGCTCCCTCTATCAGCTCCAGCTCCTCATGCGGGGACATGAGAGAAGCCTCCCACAAGGATGATAAAAAACATCAATTCATCCGGGCGTCCCCTGGGCAATGTCCTTGCAGAAGGCCAATTCTCTCGTACCAGAAGCAACTTGCAATTTCTCAAGTTGCTCCTGACACGACAAAAAAAAATTCAACTGAGACTGAAAATGCATCTGTGTAAGACTGTAGGTTTTTGTAGCAAAATTAAATAATCACTCACAAGCCAGTATGGAAATGAATATAATTTGCTTGTTTCTCCACAGCAAAGAAAGACACTACTGACTTTTCCCCACCACCACTTCCTTTTATACACCCTTCCTGCCCACCTCCCCCCTCCTCTCAGTTTCCCCATTAGAGCTTGTTGCCTCACAAGTTCCAACACAAAGTCTCCAGCGCCCTCTGCTGGCTTCACAATGTCAAAATGTCAAAGAAAGAAAACTGAGGCGGCCAGGATGATCCAGCCAGGATGTCATGCAGGAAATTTATGATGTCTCCACGCCGTCAGAAATTGACTCCTGACAATCTGTTTGCTTAAGTAGGCGTAAACAAGGAGTAAAACCTCAAATTACTTCACTGTCTTTTCAGTCATGGCATTATGGAAGGAATCTCAGGAATTATACCTACATGGAAAGGGACAAGCAGAAAATCGAAGCCAATATTTCCTTTTCTCTCTCTTATGTTGAGAGTGTGTTTCTCTTCTGCCCCAATCCCAGCACAGGCATATTTTGTCAGAAATATTAAAAATTAACTAGGTATTTTTAATTACAAAAATGTGAGTCAAGCACTGAAAGGGTTAAGTGGATGCAATGAAATGCAATAAAATATAAGCAGGTGAGCCTGTAGCTTAGGACGGCTCAGTGTTAGTTGCCCTTAGTATGAAGAGGCTTCTGTGTGAGAGAGGCCTCAGTGTGTGAGGTAGGCCACAGTATGAGAGAAGCATCGGTATGGGAAGGCCTCAGTGGGAGAAAGGCCTCAGTGTGAGAGACACCCCAGTCTGAGAGAGGCCTCAGTGTGAAGTAAACCTCAGTGTGAGAAAGCCTGGTGTGAGAAGCTTCAGTGAGAGAAGCCCCAGGTTGAAGGCCATGTGCCTCTAAAGCTACTGTGTAAAGCTCCTGTGTAAGTTCGGTGTGAGAGGAGGCTCTGTGAGAGTGAAGCTGTTTATCTACATGAGAAAAAAGCCTAGAGTGGAATGATAGAAGGAAGTATAAAGAACTTTATTTGTGCTATGGAAACCTTGTTTGTGTAACTAGTGCAATTTTGCTACAAAGAAAAGCCTCCTAAGAAATATAAAATATTGGTCTATGTGTTTTTGTACTTTTTATCACTTTTGGCTACTGGTGCTGGGTCATGCTGCTGCTAATAAGTTTATGAGGAGGGTCTTTTGTTAATTTATTTATTTATTTATTTATTTATTTATTTACTGCATTTATTGACCGCCGCTCTCAGCCCTAGGGCGACTCGCGGCGGTGCACAACATATAAAAACAGTTTACAAAAAGGGCAAAACAGGAAATCAATACAACAATAATACACTATAATCTAGTTACACTAAATAATCCGCTCCGTCACATCATAGAATCATAACCAATATCGTAATCCGTATTCCGTTCCAGTTGTCAATTACCAGTTGCCGTAGCGCTCAGTTGAATGCCTTCTCAAATAGCCAGGTCTTCAGGCTCTTACGGAAGGACAGAAGGGAAGGCGCCTGTCTGATGTCAGCAGGGAGGTCGTTCCACAGCCGGGGGGCCACCACCGAGAAGGCCCTTTCTCTCGTCCCCGCCAGACGTGCCTGTGAAGTGGAGGGATAGAGAGAAGGGACTCTCCAGAAGATCTTAGGGTCCTGGTGGGCTGATAGGCTGAGATACGTTCGGATAGATAAGTTGGGCCAGAACCGTTTAGGGCTTTAGGATAACACCAGCACCTTAAATTGGGCCCGGTAGCAAATCGGCAGCCAGTGGAGCTGGAACAAGGGCGTTGTATGCTCCCTGCGTCCCGCTCCTGTTAGTAACATGGCTGCCGCGCGCTGGACTAGCTGAAGCTAATAAGTCCATTCAACCAACAGGTTTGTGTATGATAGAGAGAAAACGAGGAGTTCCCATACCATGGTGTCGTACCATTGTAGCAATAGAAACTCTGGAAAGAGCTAGGTCTCCCACACACAAATCACACAAAATCACTGTAATAGCACAATTGAACTTTCCACACAGACCCCATCTGCACTGACCATATAATACAGTTTCAAACTGGATTATATGGCAGTGTAGATGAGGCCACAAATAACCATACTGAAACTGAAGGAAATGAGGTCAGTAATGATTTTTTTGTATTAGTAAAATAATTGCTTTTATCCTTTCATGGAATACCAACAGAAGAGCAACAACATTATACAATAAACTCCAACCAAAGGTGCTATTATCAAGAATCAATTGCAATATACCTGACCTTGTACTATAAGGCTCTCAGTACAATTGCATTTCAAGGAATTACATAAGTTCTTCAATGAGTCCAATATCCAGTAAAGGTTCATATACACATACATGTTGTGAAATTTACAATGTGCTATCATACAGGTATGGATGTGCAAGGGCTACACAAAATTGTACACTTACTTAAAACAATAAGATTTTCAGTGTGTTGTTGAAGGCTGGAATCACTGGGTTGCTTTGAGTTTTCTGGGCTGTATGGCCATGTTCCAGAAGCATTCTCTCCTGACAGTTTGCCCACATCTATGGCAGGCATCAGAGGTTGTAAGGCCTGTTGGAAACTAGGCAAGTGAGGTTTGTATATCTCTGAAATGTCCAGGGCGAGATAAAAGAACTCATGTCCGCTTCAGGCAAGTGATAAAGTTGCAATTGGCAACCTTGATTAGCACTGAATGGCCTGGCTGCTTCCTGCCTGGGGGAATTCCTGGCAGGAAATAATCAAGGCCAGCTAACACCTCCCAACAAAAGATTCTCCCAGGCAGCAAGCCACTAGGGTTTGACACTGCAAAGTCATTCAGTGCTAATATAACAACAACAACAACAACACTTTATTTATATTCTGCCCTATCTCCTCAAGGGGACTCCAGGTGGATTACAGTACACATATGCCGTTTGGACAGTCAGGACAGAATAGACAGAAAGGGGGTATGTTGTGTCGACATCCAGCTTTTCAGTGCTTTTGAAGGTTGTGCTGAAATCCAGCCACAGAGGGGTGCTGTTGCTCCATTCTCTATGATGAAGAGCCATCAGGACTTCCTCCTTCCGTTTGGTTGCTGGCATTTTCTGGTCTCTTTCTTTTATGGTGTCGTAAAACACCTCCCCTACTTTTTCAGTGGTACCTAATTTCTCTGCTAACAGCTCTAAGCTATTTTTAAACTTCTTAGGTAAACAGTGACCTGGGCTGACAGTCATGTGCTCACTCTGACCCGGGCTTCGAACTGGCAACCTTTTGGTTGGTAGATCTTATTGCTGCTGGTGGTGATTTTCCAGCTGTGCTATAGGTGATCAATTGAAACATTCACACTTGCCTGAGGCAGACAAAAGTTATTTCTCCCACCCTGGACATTTCACAGATATACAAACCCCACTTGCCTAGTTTCCAGTAGACCTCACAACCTCTGAGGATGCCTGCCATAGATGTGAGTGAAGCATCAGGAAAGAATGCTTCTGGAACATGGCCATACAGCCTGGAAAACTCATAGCAACCCAATAAGATTTTATTTTGCAATGAAATGGAATGGAATGGAATAATCAAGGGATGTTACGTCTACAAATATCAGAGTGTTATCCATAATTGGCATTATAATTGCAAACAATTTGGCCAGAAGAAACAAAAAAAACCCTGTTAAATTTACTAATGAAATAAAGAGCAAGGGGACCCTGTTGCAATGTTGCATACAATGAATTGTGGAAAAGAATGCACTTGTGTATTCTGTACTAGGCAAAGCACTGCTGCGCGCCATATGCTCTTGCTATTTGTGGCCCAAGGCAGCTATGAATACGACCCAATACAAATTCATGGCCTCGGTTTTATGACCGTGTGCAGCCTAAGACAGTTGTTGTTCTTCCAATGTGGCCCAGAGAAGTACAAATAAAAAATCGGACACCTCTGGCATAGATTAATATAGGCAGAAATCTTATTTATTTATTTATTTAATACACTTGTATACCGCTAATATCTCAGCCTGGATCGGCGACTCATTGCGGTTTACAGCAATTAAAAAAACAGTCTCCAATTTAAAAACATATACACATACAGTACAGATTATTGGGCCACCAATAATAATCCCATGTATCTCGAATTAAAATCATAATCCAGAATTCGTTGTCCATATTTTCCTGTCCTTAGTCACCAGAGTTCGATTGCCACAGATTAGCCGAATGCTTGTTTAAACAGCCATGTTTTCAGTCTCTTCCTAAATACCATCAGTGAAGAGGATGATCGTACCTCTATAGGGAGGGTGTTCCAAAGCCGGGGGGGCCACCACAGAGAAGGCCCTGTCTCTCGTTCCCGCCAGCCGCACTTCTGAAGCTGGAGGGATAGAGAGAAGGGACTCTCCAGAAGATCTTAGGGTCCTGGTGGGCTGATAGGCTGAGATACGTTCGGATAGATAAGTTGGGCCAGAACCGTTTAGGGCTTTAAAGGCCAACGCCAGCACTTTGAATTGAGCCCGGTAGCATATCGGCA